CGCTGCCCGCCGCCCCCGCCGGCTGCGCTGTGACAAGGGCATGAGCCTGTCTCGCGGCCCCGCCGAGCCAGCGCCCCGGCCCGGGCCTCGGCGCCCAGGTAAATGGGGCGGGGGACCTAGGCCGCACCAAGCCCGCGGCACCTTGGGTGCTCCCAACCCTGGGCGCCCGCGGGCACCTCCCGAACCTTCGGACTCCGACCCAGGGACCTTCCTACTTGGGTGTGGGGACTCGGAGACGCGACTCCCCGAGCCGGTGCGCTGCCCAGAAACTATCCCTGAGCTGACCTCACCCCCAGCTCTCCTCTCTGGGGAGCCCAGGTTGGGACCTGACCTCACCTGTGCTCACAGGTACCCAGACCCCTAGCCCACCCCCTCCGTCTGCCCTCCAGAAGGGGTGCTGCCCGGGCCACGGAGCCCCCACTCCCAGTTTCCTTCTTCCCGGGGGCCTCCTGCTGGCTCCACACCTCCGGTTCCCACAGACTATTTCCCTAGCCTTGCTGGCCCCAGGGCCCACCCCCCTGCAGGTGGGGTTTCCTACCCACTGCTTATCCTCACCCCTCTGCCTCCTGCCTTTGAATCCTTCTCCCTGTCCTGGAGGTCCTGCCCACCTTCTCCTCCTGGGCTCTGGTTCCAGTTAAATGCTTCCTGCCACCACTTAAGGGGCTCGAGCCAAGGCTGGGCACTTAAGTGTTGTGGGCAGAGCAGGGGCTTGGGCAGGACAGTTGCCTGGCGCTGGGATGAAGGACTTGAGAGTGGGGTCTGATAATCCCAGGCAGCAGGGCACTGGGCACGGGTTCTAGCCTGCTCCCTGGACACCGGTTAAGGACTGGGACTCATGCACTTTCCTTCCCGGCCCTTTTCAGGGGGATGTGGCTCCAGTACAGGCTAAGGTGTTCCTGTTCCCCATCTGGGATGTGTCCCAAGAGCTGTGCCACTCTCACTCCACTGCTTGTCTCTCTGTGTCTGGGTGCTGGTTACTTCCTGCCAGGGCAGTGGGCTGGGCCTGACCTCACCCAACAACCCCACCTAAGGTGGGGCTGGCCAGGTCTGCACACAGCGCCAGCAGCTCACTGATCCCCGAGGCAGCTTTGAACCATACTGTGGGGTCTTGGGCCCAGTCGGTTCTCTAACAACAAATCTGCTGGCCGTGACAGTCAGTGCTGGAACCCAGGGAGGTGGGAGCTGGCTTCTGGAAGCTGAGCTGGTGGCTGGATGGATGTTGGTGGTGGTGAGGAGGACAATCCTGGAGTGAATTACTCATTCAAACCCTGAACACTGAGCACCTCCTTGGCATTAGGCAGTGTTGTAGGAGTTGGGATGGAGCTGTAACCAGTTAGAGGAGGCCTGGCCATCAGGGAGCTGACATTAGATATCTCTTCAAGGCCAAGTAACAAATGCGCAGACGAAGGAATAAGAAAATCCTGCAGTGATGTGTGTGACAAAGACAGTGACACTGGATTATGTTAGAGAGCTAACTATCAGGGCTCTTCTGGCCGTGGCCAGGGAAGTCCTCTTGGAGGAGGTGACCTTTGAACTGAGATCTGAATGAAGTGGTGGAATGATTCTTGGGACAGACTAAGGGAACAGTGTTGTGGGCAGGGAATGCAAGTGCACTTGTAGGAGGAGTTTAGCAGGTTACAGGGTGGGCAGGGGACCAGGAGAGAACAGATGGCAGTGGTACAGGGGCGTAGCACCAGTCTCCTCAGTTAAGGGTCTGGAGACTGTGCTGTTCAGATGTGCCCCCTTCCTGTCCTCTCTGCCCAGTTAGGTATTGGTCTGTCTTTGTTGCCCACTTTGTTTGGGGTGGTGGCTCCTTAGGGAGATTTGGGGATGTTCAGGAGTATTCCTGTGGCCCAGGACAGTCACTTGGGGGAGGGAGGTCAGATCAGCAGGTAATGGATTTGTCCCTGGTGCTGGAGAGAATCTTCGCCACTGATAGGATCTTTGCTGTGAGGTGGAGACAGGCAAACTACTCAATGGTGAGAAGGTGTGCAGGTTGGGCTGTCGGGACGCTCTGATAAGATCCGATCTGCTGGGCGGGGAGGCCCAGCCAGCCAGGCAGCTCTGCCATTGGTTGCTGGCCTCAGAGAGTAGTGAGTAGTGTTTGTTCTGGAGCCAAAGCCTCCAGGCAGAATCCAGGGAGGGAGAGCTCAGAGTGGCTGCCCCACGGGGCAGGTAGACAGGCAGCCCCCCTCCCCTGCTGGGCACCTGAGACACCCCCTCTCTGCCTCTCCTCATAGGCACTCCCTGGAGAACAGAGCAACTCCCAGCCAGGCTCTCTCCGTGAGGAGCTGGTGGTGGCCTGGCCCAGGGCAGACACTGACACTAGAGAAGTGGCCACATCAACGCCACCGGGAGGAGGGATTGGGTCCCTTGTGGCCCACACCAGAATCTTGAGAGGGGCTGCTGGACACCCTGCTTTGCCATTCTAGGGGTTCCCAGTTCATGTACCTCATGTCCTCTGCTAGGGAGGGGGCTTCTCAGAATATCGGGCCAAATGGGTCACAATCCTGGTCGTACTGTATCCAGGGCACTTTGGATGAATGAGGGGGGCTGGTCCTTGCTCTGGGGACAAGGCAGCCCCAGAGGCAGGCAGTGCAGACAGAGCTAGGAAAATTGATGCTCTTCCGACGGCCAGAGCCCAGGTGAGTCAGGGCCCATGGGAACCGGGCTTTCCAGGAGGAAAGCCGAGCTGCTGGGCATGAGAGGGTCTGGGACCCCTGGGAACTGGGACACAGGAAGTGAGTGGGCAGGAGGGGCACTGGCGAGGCTTTCAGGGTGCTCACAGGATGGGAGAACATCACCCCTCTGCCCTTCCCCTTGTTTGTACGTGCCCGCTGCGGTGTCCCATCTGTTCCTTGTTAGAGACTCAACAGACAGGCCTCCAGGAGATTAATTAATGCCAAGCTGCTGCAGCCTGCTTGCCCTGGGGCCCCATCCTGGCAGCACAGACACTCGGCTGACCCCAGAGTGCTACTGAATTCCCACCCAGTGATCTTGAAAACACAAGGAGCCGTGTTGTTGGCAGAGCCGGGCCCCTGAGGTTTGATGGCAGAGAAGGCTTAGCTAGCAGCAGGAAGAGGCTGCAAGGTAAAGTTCTGTATCACGATGATGTTCTGGAACATCTCATTCATTCCTGGCTGTACCCTGGACTTGCTGTGTGACCTTATTCTGGTGGCTTACCCTCTCTGGGCAACTTTCTTCTCCTATCTGTAATGTGAGGTTGGTAGACGAGGTCATTGCCAAGATTCCCATGATTCTGTCTATGGATCTGCCTCATTGAAAGTCGCTTTGCTGCACCCCATTTCCTACTCCACGTTGAGCTCTGGTTGGTGCCCATACTATCTTCTGCATCATCTGGGCTGTGTCCTGGGCCCTGGACCCAGCCTACTTTTCCTTGTAATTAACTCCTGCCCGTAGTCAGAACGTGGAGGCACTGGCTGGCCAGGCCAGACCCAGCAGTCTGTTAGGACCCAGCCGTACCCTCAGACTGGCCTCCGCCCCCTCCAAGGCCAGGCCAGAGCACACTGTTCCCACAGCAGCCTCCCCGGCCGGCCCTGCACATTCCTCAGGCTTATCTAGGGGCCCCGCCCTGCTGGACTCTGCCCTCCCACCCCGGAAGCAGCGCCCAGAGGAGCTGCCAGAGGGCTCCAGGGGCCTTGAGCAGAGCGTAGTGGGCCTGGGGTATTGAAGAGACCAGGTGGCAGATGGGGTGGGGCAGGGATCTGGAGTCTTCTGAGGGCAACAGGGCAAAGTGCAGGGTTCACTCAGACACCAGACCCCGGGCTCCCCCCACTTCCCCTACCCAAGGCTCTGTACCCCAGACCCTGGGCCATCTCCTGGGCTCCCCCCACTTCCCCTACCCAAGGTTTCTGTACCCAGGAGGGGGTTTTGTGCTGGCAAATTGCCCTGGGGCTGCCCCAAAGTTGTTCCAGGAGAGAGAGCCAGGGGCAGAGGAGCTGAGGGACAGCAGCTCCTGGCCCCCAGCCCCGGGCTCCAGCCACCTCCCCTCCTCCACCCCCACCTCCATCTCGGGAGCAGGAGCCGGATCTCCCAGGAAGGGGTTAACTGCCAGCCCCAGCCGTGAGGGAGGGGACTGGGCTGGACCATTTTCCTCCCTGCTGCCTCCACCTCGGTTTTCCTGAATGGTTCTGTCGTCCTGGGGTGGGGAGGGAAGGGAAGGAAGAAGGGCGGAGGGTGGAGGGAGGACTGTGGGAAGAGGAAGGAAAAAAGAGAGCGAGACAGCAAGGGGAAGAGAAAGATGTCACTGTCTGTAATCTCCCTGTCATCCGTGTTTCCAGCAAGCACCAGGCAAAGGAACTGTTAAAACAATGCTGAGGCGGGCGAGGTGAGGAGCAGCCCTGACGGACGGACGGACGCAGACAGACCACAGACAGAGCATCTGGAACAGGTGATCAGAAGAGTCGGAGACCGAGGCCACCTGGGCATCCCTCCCTTGCCTTGGCCCAGCCCGGTGCCCCGCCCCGAAGACGAGCCGGTGGGGCCACCATGGCGACCAATTTCAACGACATCGTCAAGCAGGGCTATGTGAAGATGAAGAGCAGGAAGCTCGGAGTGAGTGACTATCGCGGGGGGCCGGGGGACCCTGCTGGGGGACAGTCCCTGAGGACTGGTCTGGAGGCATGGCGTGCCGGTTTGCGCTGTCTGCCGGCAGATTAGCATCGAGCATTTGTGGTCTCCAGGCTTCTTGCCGTGGGCCACCTGGCATGTGCCAGCCGGGTTCTGCCTGCTGCAGCCCCCACCCAGCGGGACTGGCTGGCTGGCATCACAGCCTCCGGGCCAGCGGTGTGGTCGATGGGCAGCAGCTCCTCTGCTATTGTTGAAGTTGTGGCACAGCAGCAGCATGAGCGGCTGGAGACACTGGGCTGTGTCTAAGCTGAGGCCGGCTTCCCCACTTCCTGGGGCCTCTTCCCTCCTCTGTCCTCACCTCTCCTGGCCTCTTTTCTTTGAAGTACCCCATCTTCCTGCTTCCCGCTTCTTTCCGAGCGTGCATATTTATCATATTTTTGTTGTGTTTGGTGTTAAAGAAATGTTTCAAAGGAGAGACACTGGTTGGGGGGAGGGGGTAAGGGGCACCTGGGGCCAAAGCCAGTACTTCTGAGGTCTGTCGATGAGAACTTTGGCCACAGTGGCCTGTTTCTGTTTCTCTCGGATGGCTGATGTGCTCCAAGTGGTCGGTGGGTGGCCCTGTGCTTGCCCCGTGCTTGCTTGGGCTGGGGCTTGGAGGGTCTGTAGAGATGAGCTTCAGAGCACATTGTACCCCCAGCTGGGGAAGGTCCCCCAGAAGGCAGGAGTAGGTGCCCCAGGGACCTACTTAACCATCTTGGTAAGGTGTCCAAGAGCTGCCTCTACTCCCTGTCAATGCTCCTTCCACCTCCAGTGACAGGGCTGGCAGCTGCCTCCTCCCCAGCAGGAAGGAAAGACCTGGTGGCCAGAATTGCCCAGGTTGTGCTTTATCCAGACTCCTGGCCTTCCCTTCTTCCCTCCCCCACCGCCTTGGTGGGGTGGGGGTGGGGGTGGAGGTGGGGTCAAGTGCTCGAGCTTCTTGACTCAGTCTGTGCCAGGTGGAAGACAAGAAGGGAGACTCAGGGTTCTCACACCCGGCTTCCCTCCTAGATACCAGGCAGGCAGGGCTGGCCTTGGAGAAAGGTGGATGTTGCCCCTGCTGGAGCCCCTGTCGGAGTGCATTGTGTCTGGGAAGGGGCCAGCAGCTCACTGTTGTCAGGCGGGCCATCCGTCCAAGGGGGCAGAGCTGGTGGCATGTTTGGAGTACTATCTGGACTTGACTTTGTAGCCCAGACTGGACCCTAGCCTGGTGGAGACTGGGCCTTGGCAGCCACCAGCCACTTTGCTCTTCCCCTGAGACAGGGATTCAGCTCACTGACTTGGAGCCCAGAACAAAGACAGAGGCTGAGGCCCCAGTAGGGAGGCCAAAGGGACTGGGACCCATTCCTCCTTCCTATAACCTGTACCTAACAAGTCCCCAGGGGCCTGTCCAACTTGCCAGGAAGGCACTGGCCACAGAGGCAGCCACTTGGGGTCAGCATCAGGACTCCTGGGGCCCCAGGTGGACAGGTGGGCACAGCCAGGAGGGGAGCCTGGGAGGTGGAGAGTGGTCAGGTCGTCTGGGGTTCACTAGCCCCAGGGGATCCAGCTGCCCTCTGCAGACTTAAGCCTTGCTTCCCATGATGTGAAGGACTGCTATGCTTGTCTTGGCTCTGAGGTGGAGGAGGGGCCGCACAGATGGGAGCTCACCCTCTTACCTGCCAGGCCTCCCTCCCCAGCAGAGCTGTGGCAGAGCGCTTCTGAAGCGCTGATCAAAGCCCTAAGAGAAGTGGGAAGGAGGGCTCTTGAGCACGTGGCTCCCTGGCTGTGTGTGTATATTGTAACCAGGCAACTGGGGTCCTCAGGCCTCCAAGCTCATGCCCCTGCCACTGCAGGCTGCCTGGTACCCGACCTGCAGGGTGTATCTGGGTTGGCAGCACGCACTCATCCATCCATCCATCCATCCATCCACCCATTCACTGTCTCTTCTTATGCTCATTCATGTGTTCAGCAGAGCTCTGCAATGAGGCCACAGGATACGAACGAGCATTCTGGGAATAAAAGTTTTTGCTTTAGGGGTGCTCTGCAGCTTGGAGCTGGGGGCTGCTGTGGCCTAGGTGGACTGGCCAGGGGCCAAGCTGTGGTCAGGGGTGCAGGGCAGACATGGGGGTTCTAGACAGGAGCTAGGAGTACTCTGGCTTCATGAGACAGGACAGTCTAGGCCTATGGCACCCTGTGACTCTGCCTGCCATACACCGGGTGCACCATGGCAGGTTGGGGCTGAGGCGGGGAGTGGTTTTGGGGCTGTAGCCCCAGGTCCCCTACGCTTCTCGGCTCTGCTCCACTCTGGGCCACCCCTGAGGCTCCTCTTGTTTGTGGTGAGAGTGGCACTGGGGATGCCCAGGGCGGGGCAGCCTTCGGAGCCATGTGAGTAGGTAAACCTCGGACCCAGGCTGGGCTGGAAGGCAGCCTGTGGCAGGAGAGTGGGCCCGGGAAGAGGAGGTAGAACATGAGTGTAGGTGGGTGGCTCAGGCCACCCGTTAAGGTGCCGCATTGGCCAGTTTGAGCCTTTAACCCTAGGGAATGGTCAATTCTCTCCTCACCCCCAAAAGTGCTCAGGACGTTGACAATGGCTGGGACAAGAAGGAATGGCCAGAAGGCACCCCAGGTTCTCACCTGTGCCTCTTTACCTCTGAGGACCTCTGGGGTCCCCATGGGAACAGGGAAGTAACCCTGGCATCTTATGCTCTAGAGTTGGCAAGAGGATAAAAAGGAAAATGTCTGGGGACAAGAGCAGCGTTATCAAGAATTTTGTGCAGCAGAGAGAACAGGACTGCAGTGATCACAGGGTGGCCACGGGCCAGGACCCTCTATTTCCTGTATGACCCCCTATGCGGCAGCTGGTGCTGTTAGAGCCCCAGCCAGAACAGCCTGTGCAGTGGGCTGTGCACATCAGCTCGGGATCACAACAGCTCACTTCAAGTACCAGCTCCTGGTTTATGAGATGTTACTTAACTTTCTGTGCTTCCCTTTCCCCATCTATAAAATGGGGACAATAATACTTAACTGGCCTCTGGGAAGATCCTGGGATCAAAGAGTGCTAATCCAGAAAGTGGGGATGAGAAGCCCTCGAACAGGCTTTTGGAGGCAACCCAGAATGACTGCCTTCATGGTTTGAGGAGGGGCGGCTCCCCCAGGGCAGTGTCACATTGTGACTTCTGTCCCCAGGTAGTTTTCTCCAGGCAGGGGCTCCAGGAAGGGCTGTGTGGCACTGCCCCCTGTGGCAGGCAGGGGTAACTGCACAGCTGCCTGGCGGGGTGGGAGGCTCCAGGAGGCCTGATCCCCTCATCTTGCCCCCACAGATCTACCGGAGGTGCTGGCTGGTGTTCCGGAAGTCCTCAAGCAAGGGGCCCCAGCGGCTGGAGAAGTATCCAGATGAGAAGTCTGTGTGCCTCCGTGGCTGCCCCAAGGTTAGGTGGCCTGGGCCCTAGCTTCCCCATCCTGTGAGCAAAAATGGTTTACTGAGTCCTGAAGTCCAAGAACACCTGCTGGGGGTGGCAGAGCTCTGGGGAGGCAGAAAGAGTTGTGCCAGCCTGGCTTAGTCCCTTGTGAATGCCACCCCAGGTGACCGAGATCAGCAATGTCAAGTGTGTCACGCGGCTCCCCAAGGAGACCAAGCGGCAGGCGGTGGCTATCATATTCACTGATGACTCCGCACGCACCTTCACCTGCGACTCAGGTGAGGCCTTGGGGTTGCGGCCTCTCTGTGGTCCACATCAATGGCCCAGCCAAGAGACAGAGCAGGGCTGGCCCTGGCTGGGGAGGATGACGTAGGGTGTGGCAGAGTGCCCCTGGGGGGCTGCCACGGACTGAGGAGGGCAGGCAAGCAGCATGGCCTTGCCCTCCCTGCCTTTTTGGTGGGATGACTTGGGCTGAGGCAGATGGGGGACTTCTGGCAACACTGCGCTGGCAGCAAGATGAGGATCCATTTTCTCCAGAACTGGAGGCGGAAGAGTGGTACAAGACACTGTCTGTGGAGTGTCTCGGGTCACGGCTCAACGACATCAGTCTGGGAGAGCCTGACCTCTTGGCCCCAGGGGTGCAGTGCGAGCAGACAGGTGAGGCCTGGTCCTGGCCCTGGGGCAGGGAGGGGAGGGGGAAGAGGTGAGGCTCCCCTTCTCTGCTTGATGCCCACTTATCCCCATGCCCCAGATCGCTTCAATGTCTTCCTGCTGCCCTGTCCCAACCTGGACGTATATGGCGAGTGCAAGCTGCAGATCACCCACGAGAACATCTACCTCTGGGACATACACAACCCCCGCGTCAAGCTCGTCTCGTGGCCTCTCTGCTCGCTGCGCCGCTATGGCCGGGATGCCACGCGCTTTACCTTTGAGGCAGGCCGGTGAGACCCTCTTGCCTCCCCACCCCATCCTGAACAGTCACTCACTCTGTCAGGCACAGAGCTAGGAGTTCAGAGTTATCAGTATAGCAATCCAAAAGGGATGAGGTTTTACAGAGGAAGAAATCAAGGCTCAGAGAAGTAATTTGTCCAGGGCAGGCCAATCAAGTGGTGCTGTTTACCAAAGGTCCAACTGTGCTCAAATCAGGTGCTGGTACTGGAGGATAATGAAAAGTACTGAGAAAATTACGGAGAGGATGGTTCCTGGCTGGAATTTGCATTAGCCTTAAATGCTCTGTAGACTGGGTGTATTTGTAGGGCATCCCTGTAACCCCAGCACTCAGAGGCTGAGGCAGGAGGATCGCTGCAAGTTCAAGGGCAGCCTGAACTACATAACAAGACCCTGACTCCAAAAAAAAAAACAAAACAGAAAAACTCCTCTATACAATCTTGTTTGAGTTACCCAGCTTCTGTATGCTTGATTTCACATCTGCAAAATGGCTCAAGAAAAAATCTATTATGTGGAGACCAGAGGGTACTGGTGGTGGGAAAACTAGGTGGGTTAATTCTTGTGCTGCATGCTGACCTCAGTCAGGCACACGGACACACTCAGCGCGTGTGCACTGATGGTCCAGCCCCCAGCCACAGCCCAGCCTGTGCCCTGGGCGGCCTGGGTGTAGGAGCACCTGGCCAGGCACGTGCACGGTGTGGTGGGGCCCCCATCACCTTGCCCTCTTGTCACCTGTGTCCTCAGGATGTGCGATGCTGGGGAAGGGCTCTACACCTTCCAGACACAGGAAGGGGAACAGATTTACCAGCGGGTCCACAGTGCTACCCTGGCCATCGCTGAGCAGCACAAGCGGGTCCTGTTGGAAATGGAGAAGAACGTGAGGGTGAGGCCAGCGGACGTGAGTCCAGGGTCCAGGGCAGCCAGGGTGGGCAGGCCTGAGTGCCTGGGGCCTCCAGCCAAGTCTCAAGCCAGTGTGTACACAGTGGAGACAAGCACGCTTTTCACTGGAGTGGTGGTGGAAGATGGGGGGATAGTTTTGCTCTACAGCATGCTGGCTTCAAACTCAAAAATCCTCCTGCCTCAGCCTTCCAACTTGTGGGACTACAGGCATGTAACACCATGCCAGACTCAGGTGGGAAGTCCTGAGCTAGTGCTTAGGGACAGTGTCAGCCACTGCCCCTACAGCTAATGGGAAGGACCCCTTCTCTGCCCCCACAGCTGCTGAACAAGGGCACTGAGCATTACTCGTATCCCTGCACACCCACTACCATGTTACCCCGCAGTGCCTACTGGCACCACATCACAGGTTCCCAGAACATTGCCGAAGCCTCCAGCTATGCCGGTGAGTTGCTGCCCTGCCCTGCGCCCACGGAAGACCAGGCCTACTGGGCAGGGTTCTTTTGACGTGGATCTGAGTTGAGCCCACTCACCTTCTGTGCCCACAGGTGAGGGGTATGAGGCTGCCCAGGCCAGCTCAGAAACAGATCTCCTCAACAGATTCATCCTGCTAAAGCCAAAGCCCAGCCAGGGGGACAGCAGTGAGCCCAAGACCCCTTCCCAGTGACAGCAGGGCTGGTGGGCACCAACAACTGCTGCGGCCACTTGTTGCACAGCTGACTGCAGTGTCCTGTGGAGAAGACAGCCTCGAGGGGCTGTTGGCCCAGGGCCTGGAGAGAGGGAGCGAGCTGTCCCTCCCTTGCCCCCAAGGGTGTGGCTGGACCAAGGCAAAGGGCTGGCCACCCACCTGAGCATGTGAGGGGCTGAGCTACTGTGGGACTACATACTGTTCATGATTTTAATATATATGGCTTAGGACATACTCTATATAATGAGATTCCCCCATCCCTCCTACCAACACATAATACATTTTTTAATCCCACGACCAAGCCATGGTCAAGGTGGTTTTTGAGTATTAGGGCAGCTGTTTCCCTGCCCTCTGTTGTACAGCCCTCCTGCTGCCAGGACCTGAGCTGCCAGGACCAGCAGAGGGGGACAATCAGAACTCAAGGCTGGCATGCCTGTTAGCTTTTCCCAAACAGCCCAGGAGCCAAAACAGGAGGTGGCTCGTCAGTTCTCTGGGCCTAGAGTGATGCAGGAAGGATCCAAACTTTCGCTGCGCCACTTGGCAGCCTTCCACTTGGAGTTCTAAGCAGAGGTGACATCTGGTTGATGCCTCAGGTGAAAATCTGGTTTAAAATGTACTTCTGCACAGGCTGCTTCCTGCTTAGCAGGCTATGAAGATGCCCTTGGAGTGGGGGTGCTGTTACCTCAGTCGGGTGCAGGATGGGGGGGCCAGGCGGGAAGGCCGTGGCAGGACTGCTATGGGGAGTACCCCTGCTGCTCCCTCTCACTGCAGGGTGGATGCTGCCCCAGGAGGGGAAGCCCCTCCACCCTAAGCTTGGCCACCCCATACCAGAGCACTCAGAACCAAGACCTTCCCATCCCTGCTCCCCACATGGTGCTGAGGCTCCCTGCTGAAATGCAATTAAAGCAATTGATTTTCTAGTGCTGGTATTTATTGACTACCGTGCAGAAGGGCTATCTTTCTATTCACATCAAACCTTTGGTTGCGTGGATTTTTGTTGATTGTTTTTTTAATATTTTAGAGTTCTGATTTGTGGGAACAGACCTTCTTGTAAATAACCACTATTCATATTTGTGGCAGGATAATGACAAAGCAGAAGAGGCCCCTCCCAAAGGAGCCCTAGAGCCAGAGTGGTGGCATAGCCAGCTCAGCTCTGAATGTGACCCAGGGAATGACCACCCAGAGCAAACTAGGGTGCAAGCGAGATGGGGTCCAAAGGCCTTGGGGAGGGAGAGAGAGCTGGCTGGGTCAGCTAGTGGCACGATAACGCATGAAGGAGATTATGTTGTGCTCTTTATTGCCAAAAATAAAAACTTTTAAAAAGACAACTATTGTTAATAAATATCCCTTCCTTTCTATACTGATCTCTGCTTTTCTCCAGGCTGCCTAACTAGCTGCTTTGAGTATGCTCCTGCTTGGAGACTGTGTTGAGGAGCCAGGACCAGAACCTTCATTAGGAGAAAGACATGCGTGGGAGGGGCCTTTGCTCCTGCCCATCCCCCACCACCAGACTAAATGATCAGGCTGCCGGCAGGGAAGGCGTTCCGCAGGGAAGTTGGAACTGGTGGGTAGGGTAAGAGCATGTTTATTTGTGGGGGCAGAAGACAGCCAGGGTCTAATGCTATTCTATTCCCAAAGAGTTACTTCTCAAATTAGGGACACCTAGGAATTTGAAGTGCCAGTAGGTTGGCCCCTGGGGGAAGGACCAGAGGGCTTACAGGCTGCCTGGATAAAGGTTCCAGCACCCAATCCTAATATCAGAAACCTCAGGTACAGCTGTGAAAACTCCTTTTGGACAGAAAAGCTTTAATGAGCTGGAAGGACTAGGAGAAAAGTCCAGTGTTCCCCACAGGGGAGCAGGACAGCCCCCTACTGGTGTGCTAGGAAACAGGACAGAGGGATGCTTTGGGTTCTGGTAAGCACTGCCCTGGAAGGACCAAGAACGCTAACTGTCTTGTAAAAATTGGCTCTGCCTAAACACCAGAGATATTCCTGATAATCTGTCTGCAACTCCCAGCTAACTGGTCCTGGTGACCTGGCGTGAAGCTTCAGCAGCAGCAGCCCAGAGCCCAGAAACTAGAAGGCCTCAAGAGAAACCTGAACTCCAGCTGCTGCCTTGAATCCTCACTGTGCTGAAACAGGCGAGCTGCAGTTAGTTTATGGTTAGTACATCGCTCTGGATCTCGTGGCTTAACTGAGTCTGTAAATCACTCAGCTTCTTCTTCAATCCAGAGAGGGCCGAGAGGACAATGGTTTCAGGGCGCAGAGAGCCACAGGACTCCACATTGTAGTAAAACCTAAGAGGCAGAAATGTGGTGAGAGCCCGGCCCGCAATCCACCCTTCCTCGCCCTGGCTCTTGGCTTCATTCCCACACGAAGCTGGAGCCTGACCTGGTGCAGGGCAGACCTTTCATATAAAACCATCTATGCACAGTGGTCCAAACCACTTTGCAAGTCCTTGAAGACACAGATACTTCCAACAGGCACCATGAAAATCCTAAAACAATTCTGTATACAGATGTTCCACACTGGGGACAAAGTGGAAAATCAAACCAACAGCCTTTCCCTGCTGCACCCTTTCACATTCTTCACTGTGGGACCTGGGCTAGGACCTAAGAAGCCTTTTCTTCCAGGGCTCAAATGCAGAATAGGAACAGGTTGGGTCGCTAGAAACCCCTTCCTTCTCATGGTGACCAAAAGGGAAACGGTGACTGACCTGGGATGGGCACATACCATGGGTGCAGTCTGGCAGCTGGCAGCTGAGAACTAGGATGTGAGGGACAGGAGCTGCCTGACTCAGCTTGCATACAAACCCTGCATTCTCACACTGCACTTTCCTGCATGGGGCTGGGGTCTTACCTCTCTGGCTTGCCGTTGGGATCATAGGGAGCCTGGGACTCATCTTCATCCAGCTCTGAGTACTCACTCTTTGGCCTAAGGTCAGAAAGAGATCAGCACATGACCACTGCTGTTTTCAGGGCCCTTCAGTTCAGACAGCCTGCCCCACTTCATGCACTAGCACCCCTTTCCAACCCAGCTCCACCAAAGATGGGACCTACCACTCCTCAGGCTTGGGGTACACGGTGTGCCTCAGGGCATTGTCTGGATCATACTCAAAAGCCACCCCTGCAGTCGGGTTCCACTTGGCATGCTCCTTGCCAAAGCCCTTCTTGGCATAGGCTCGAAGTCTCAGCTCTTGGCCCTTTCTCAGCTTGACAATCAGGATGTCTACAGGCAGGGAGGTGTGTGAGTCAGGCAAGGGCAGGAGGGGCCTGGCTCTCCACCTTCCGATAGTGCTATGGAGGACCACATATCTGGAAAAACGGGCCTAGGGCCATGTTATGAGGAGTCGAGGAGCAGCATGAGAGGTGCTCTCTGCTCTGTGTGTCCCTCTGCTTGTGCAGCCACAACTCAGGAGGATGCCTGCACACCTGCCCCAGCCCCTTACCGTCCTGCTCCACATAATCATTGGGGTCATTGTCTCGGTTACGGGATGTCACCTGTAAGGAGCCCAAACAAAAACACTTAATTAGCCTCTCCTCTCTCAGTCACCTCTTCTGGCATCTATCTCCTAGCACCTCCATCCTGCAATACGTCAGGCCAGGGAAAGGGTGCTCAGAGAAGGTGGCAGAACTGCCTCCAGGGAGTCCACGTACTCATAGCTTTCTCAGTCAACAATCCCATGGCCTTTGAAAGGGCTCACTGGGTGACAGAGGACACAAGGCACCAACACTCCTCTACCTAAGAATCCAGATCAGCACTTCTAGGCGGCAGGTTAGGGCTGATGGTCATAGGGAAGGTCAACATCTCACAAGGATCCATGCCAGCCAGGGCCACTGGGAGCCAGAAAGGGCAGAGCCCTGGGGAGGGAGGGCGCTCAGACACTGACCGGAATCACCCGGGGACTGTTGGAAATGAGGTCTCGAGAGGTGACATGGCGCGTCTGGTCTTCATTGCACCGCACGTCCAGTGTGAACTCTACTGAGCACTCGGGGCAGAACTCTTCACACGTGCAATCCTAAGGCAGCAGGGAAGCAGGAAGGAGAGCATGAGAGGAGGCACTCCAACCGACTCCTGCTTCCAGTACCTGGTCGCTTTTTAAATTCATCTGTAAAGAGGGCCGGACCACAGTCTCCAGGCTCTTGCGGGCTATGCCAATATGGAACACATTTTCATGAGCCACTCAAGCAGAAAGACAAATTAGACACATGCTGACACCCACACTGGATGGGTGCTATGTCACCCTGGGAGATGCACTGCCATTCTCTCTGGTCTTGGGAGTCCCCTTCCTCAGGACCAAAGCTATGGCGAAAGAGGGCACTTCAGACACTGTAGACTATGGGCTAAGGAGACCGCCTTGGGGGGATAAGCATTTAAAATATAGCAGTAGGGGCCAGGGATGTAGCTCAGCTGCATAAGCACCTGCCTGGCATGTGCAAGGTGCTGAGTTTGATTCCCGGTACCAAAAAAAAAAAAAAAAAAAAAAGGGAGAGCTGGAGATTTAGCTCAGCAGCACAGCGCCCGCCTGGTAAGCACAAAGTCGTGAGTTCGATACCCGGTAACAAAAAAAAACCGTCAAAGTAAAATATAGCAGCAGTTGGGCGTGATGGCACGCATCTTTTTTTTTTTTTTTTTTTTGTTTTTTTCTCCGGTACCGGGAACTGAACTCACGACCTTGCGCTTGCCAGGCAGGCGCTTTGCCGCTGAGCTAAATCCCCAGCCCCCTCATTCTCTTTTTTTCCACTTAATTGCTTTTGCAACTTTGTGAAAAATCAATTGGATAGCCAGGCACAATGGCACACACCTGTAACTCAGTCAGTCAGGAGGCTGAGATGGGGGATCCCAAGTTCAAGGCCAGCCTGAACAACTTAGCAAGATCCTGTCTCACAATAAAATATAAAAAAGGGCTAGAGATGTAGCTCACTAGTAGGGTACCCTCAGTTCAATCTTGGCTGTACCATAGTCCCACAAACACACAAAACAATAAGCAATATTTACAGACACTAGGAAAACCTGAGTATGGACTAAACATAGATATTACAAATGAATGCTAATTTTCTTATGGACAACAGGGTAGCTACATGGGAAAATATCCTTATTCTTAGAAGATGTGCAGGAAAGTACTGAAGAAAGGTGGGTCAGGATTCTGTAACTTAACTTTGAATAGTTCAGCAAAAATTATACACATGTAAAAATAATTCAAATGTAGCAATATGCTAACAATTGGTTAACAATATAGGAAGAACAAATGAGTGTTTATTCTGGTTTTTAACTTTCTATACATTCTCAAGGGAAAAGCCACACCATCCCTGCTCAGTACTGCTAGTTCATAGAGCATTCATATCATCATGCAAAACACTGCCAAGTTGTTCTTAATTGGTTGTGCAATTGTCCCCACCAATATCTTTTTGTGTATGTATGTGGGTATGTGTGTGGTACTGGGAAATGAACCCAGGGCCTTTGCACTGAGCTTTATCAGAGCCCTTTTAAAATTTTTTAGTTTGAGAAAGCGTCTCACTAAATTACTAAGTTGTCCAGGCTGGGCTCAAACTTGCAATCCTCCTGCCTCAGGCACCTACAGTGCTGTTATGCTGTATTTCTTAGAAACAAAAATCTTGGGCTGCAGTTGTAGCTCAGTGGTAGACCACTTGCCTAACAAGCTTGAGGCTCTGGGTTCAATCCCAGCCTAGGGCAGGGACTAGAGATGTGAAATAAATACAGCAAAATTATAAAATGGGACAACTAGTTAGGTGAAATTTGCTAGATTAGCTCCACACTTATCTGTGTGCTTCAGTATTTCTCAAAACAAAACCGATAATACATATTCAGAGATATATCAAGTCAGCCAAAACATAGATGACACGCTCTTGGGAGTATCAGAAAAAGAGTTGATTCAGTATCACTCAGAGCCATCCAAAGGGCATAGTGAGATGTTATCTAATGCAGCCCTACCTAGTAAAAGGACAAAGGTAACCTAATCCTCTCCCACTTTCTGCTATCAACACATCATTAGAGAAAGCAAACCCGACCCTAGGGACACTGAGAGAGGCCATGCATCAGGAGCCTCGCCTATTGGAAGAGGCATGGATCTGGCAGGCACCCATACTTGAGTCCCTCGGGTGCTGCTCCAGTGATCAGTTCCCTCTCCCTCTGCTCTTTGTCCCCTCCGACCACAACCTGCCGCTGATTTCCATCAGCCCACCAGCCTCGTGTTGCCAGAAGAGAGCTTTGGAAAGAAGAGTCCCCCAGCCAGTATATCTGGGCATTTGGGTAGATGCCCCCTCTTGTGTGGCTGGTTAATGAGATACCTTCATGCCTAGGCAACCTGAAGCCCCATAAGAACCAAGGACCTAGGCTTGCCTCAGGGTCTAGACAATTCCACATTATCTTCCTAAACTACAACACAGTCCAAGGCACAAACAAGATGTCAGGAAAAGTCTCTCAGAAAACTGAAGCCTCTTCCCAGCCCCAAGGTCCACCCACCACACACACACACACATACCCGGGAGTACTGCAGCTTGTCCACGATGTCATCACTAGTGAGGGGAATTAACCCTGGAAGACACAGAAAAGCACTTTACCGAAGCCCCAATAGCCAAGCCAACCCACGAACCCAGAAGTCCCTTTGCAAGCAAGGAGGGAAGGAGGGAGGGAGGCCTCTACCTCCGACTCTAGGCTCAGTGTGTTCCCTTCAACCCCCCAACATCAGCACTTACCAAGCCTGTGTGCGATGAACTCATCATGAAGGACTGAGGAATTGGCATCAATCTGAACCCAGTCGATTGCTAGCAAATAAAGGAAGCAGAGATGTACACATGTGGTTTAGCCACCAAATTCACTTAGAGACTTACAGCAGAGCTCTCAAGATCCTTATGGAGTGGCAGATGCACGGGCCGAGCTACTGGATGCTCTGTGCTAGAATGGACTCCAGCAACCTGCATTTTAACAACCACACATAGCACCCCTCCTCCCTGCCCAGGTGAATTTACTGCAGAGGGTTCCCTGTACTACATAGAGAAACACTGGGACATATATCTTTCAGCTGAATATTTCTGTGAGAAGCATTTAAATGTGCTACCTGTCAATGCCAGACCTAATAAAAACTATTTAGGCTTTAGTAACAGACTCACAATAAGTACGCATATATCTGTCTAAAACAAGTTCTAAGTCACTAAGTTGCCCAGACTGGGCCAGAATTTGTGATCTTCCTGCCTCAGCTTCCCATAGTGCTAGGATTACAGGCACGTATCAGTCACCACGCCCAGCGCCATCCCTCGTTTTATGACATAATGAGTACATCACCCAATTTAGAACTTCATTTCCACTCCAAAATGGATATTTACTGAATTCCTCCAATGGGCTAGGCGTATTAATATAAAGTCCAGTCCCTACCAGCAACGTGCTGGGAGGCCAAACTGTACTCTTACATATGCTTGGCTGAAATACACACTTATCCATTCAGAAACAAACATCTGCATGTAAACAATGAAATTCGGAAATTAATGGCACTGGGGCCCAGCTGCTACCTTACTTTGTCCTGCTATGCTTCCTTAATCTAAGCAAGGACCATGACCCAAGCTATTCTACCTCTTTACTCTCTCCCCCACCCCTGCAGGCTTTTACTCTACACATTCCTCCCCTAATTGAAACCCTTTAAGTTTTAACCTAAAATCTCCTAAAAACCAAGTCTTTACCCTCCATGCTGCAGATGTGATCACTCCCTCCCTTTGAATTCCTCTCTCACATAACTCTGTGCAGACTTCCTTTAAGATGCCGTTGAGCCGGGCATGGTGGTGCACGCCTGTAATCCTGGCACTCAGGAGACTGAGGCAGGAGGATCGTTGCGAGTTCGAGACCAGCCTGGGCTACAAAGTGTGCTCAAGGCCAGCCGAACTACATAGCGAGACCCTGTCTCAAAAAGACAAAAAAAAAAAAAAAAAAAAAGAGGCCTGTCATATTTTGCTCTGTGTCATGTTTGTGTATGTCATGTCTCTGCCTCATGCTTTGAAAATTCCCGAGGCAGGGTTCTGAGATGCTGGTGCATTCCTAGAGTGGGTGCTCCATATCATCTTTAGAAATGAATTTGTGAGAAAAGAAGGTATTTAGACTCAGCTTGTCAGGGCTGCAACACTTTACTCATGAAGCCGAGGCCCACAGGCACGCACAGATTTGGCAGAGGGAGGACCAGCACGCCACACTGGGCTGAGGATGTGACCCGGGCGGTGCAGAAGCATAGCATTCCCTTGATCACTAACCATTCAGTCTGCTTATTTTCTCAAAAGTCTGAACACCTGACACAGCAGCTACGATTTATATTTCCTTTGCCTAACCCAACTGTCTGAGCTGACACTTAGAACACACTTGTAGACTTATACAAGCCTAGTTTGCGTGTAAAACACTTGGAGCAGGGAGGCTAGAACCAGACCGGAAACAGGTTTGCGCTTGGCTAGGCATCAAGTGCAGGGCAGCTTCGCTTCTTCGGTCCCGAGCAAAGTTTACTTGCGTCACTGTTGTCTGTGGATTCACCTTTCTCCTGCAGCTTCACTGTGTGCTCCACCAGGGTTAACCCCTGTTCTACACAGTCGTGCATTCCCAGTGCCCAGCACCATGCCCGGCACTTAAGAAGTTCCATTCGCGAAGTGGAAAGACGAGATTCATAAAAAGACATCTATCAGTACTGAACACTCACTAAACACAAAGCACTTAATACAGATGAGCTCACTTAATCCTCGACATCACCCTGGTCAGCACCACTGGTGTAGTAACCGGCCCCGCTATTTCTGCTGTTTCCACGGAGCCAGTAAGCGAACACTACTGGACCCAAGTCAGCAGGGGTTTGAACCCACGCCCCTCAGCGAGCACACACCGTATAAAGGGGACCTAAATGGCCCTCCGGAGCCTGCGAGGCCGGCACGAGGTCTAATCACGTCTCAGGCTTCTAGACACCCCAACACGCAGACCCAGCCAAGGACCAAGGGAGGGGCCCCGGGGGGCGGCAGGGACTCAGCCTGGAGTCTTACCTATGATGGGGACCTCTGCGATGAAGACCCTCCGAATAGAATTGGCCACCCTAAGGGAGAGACACACGGCGGCGTGAGGACGCCACAGCCTCGACAGGCCGGCCCCGCGCCCAGCGCCCCGTGCCAGCCCCGGCACAGGGTGGGCGGCTCCGGGTACCCACCCCGGCCCGGCCCCGCGGAGCCGCCGGCCGCGTCCCACAGCCGCCTTACGCCAGGTCCGTGTTCTCTATGATGAACTTGACATTCTCGTCGGTGAGCTCAGTGATCCGCACCGTGGGCTGGTTGGCGTACGGCATCTCGTCCGGGACTGCCTGCCTCCGAGCCTTTTGCGTCTACCCCGCCGCCGCTGCCGGAAGTTGGATGGAGCGGCCCTCTCTGCTTCCGCCCGGACGCGCCGCAGCGCCACCTGCCTTTCGGAGGCCAAGACTGCACCAGGCCCGCGTCTTCTAACCCCCCTGCTTCAAAAATGCAGCGGGTTCAATTATCTCCCTAGGGCTCCCCCCGCTCCCCCAGCCGCAGAGGCGGGGTCTCATTATGCAGTTCAGGCTGTCCTTGAACTAGGAAGCACAGGCTGGCCTCGAATTCGCAGCGATCCTGCTGCCTCAGCCTCCCAAGTACAATACAAGTTCAACCATCTTAGAAAGTAAGTGGCAAAACATAGTGATGTAACAATTAACTTCTAGGAATTCACCTCGCAGAAGCACTTGCAAAACAAAAATCCCCATACAAGGTCGTTTGTTCCAGTACTGTTTGATTTAATGGCAAAAGAGAAAACTTACAAGGCAATGTTGCCTTTAGGAAGAATTAAGTAAAGCTGTACCTCTGTGAAAAATAAAAGCAAAGTAAGCCTAACTAGAGGTGTGTAAACTTTCCTGTCCACCTTTCCTGTCTAGATGATGTGCTTCTGAAAACTGTGGGAAAAGGTATAAGGCTCTTCAAAATAACGCATCATCCACAGTTCCGTGCAGTGCCAGTGGGTGGAGCTCTTCCTCTCTGCAGCCTCAGTGTCTGGTCATGTGCACCACATAGCGCTTATGCTCTTATCAAAAAGCAAGGCCTGGTGGCACACACCTGTAATCCCAGCACTAGGAGACTGAGGCAGGAGGATCCTTTCCAGTTCAAAGCCAGTCTGAGCTACATAATGAGTTCAAGGTCAACTTGAACTACACAGCAAGATCCTGTCTCAAAGGGAGAGGCGGAGAGGCTGAGGATGTAGCTCAGCGTAAAGGCACTGGGATCAATCCTCAGTACCAAAAAAAAAAAAGACTTCTAAACAGCTTAGAGAAGAATGGGCCTCTAAAGAGTGGAAGTTGAAAAGAGACCTTTAAACAGAAACCAGCAGGAGCTACATTTAAAGGCCAGAAAAGTAATCAGAGAATAAAAAGGAGTTAGCTGTAGCAGGGAGTGACATCTCTTCCAGGGACTAGGGCAGGGGCACTGAGTGACCCTTTCTCCACCACCTGTGATTCAGTCTTCTGCTGAGTGTGAGATGGACACTATGAAGGAAAAAGAATGCAATGAAATGTGCAATAGTACTGCAGGAACCTCACAGGGTGTCAAGAGACACAAAGAACCTGAGGTATGGAAAGGGCCTAGCATAAGACACAGAAGAGACCTGAGTTCCCACTAACTCCTGCCTTCCCCACCGATACTCAGCCACTTTAAGGCAGGTTAGGACAAAGCACCACTCAACCAAAATGGCAAAGGAAGTCAATAAACTAAAGGATGTAGGATGTATCACTGTGGCTAGGTAAACAGCCCCTGGGTTCAATCCCCAGCACAGTAAGAAAAAGAGCTGGGCATGGTAGCGCATGCCTATAATCCCAGCACTCAGGAGGCTGAGGCAGGAGGCTTGTTGTGAGTTCAAGACCAGCCTGGGCTACAAAGTGAGCTCAAGGCCAGCCTGAACTACACAGACCCTGTCTCAAAAAAGACAAGAAAAAAGAAAAAGAAACACAGAAAGGAAAAGAAAAAGAATGTATCACTGAAGTGGTCAGCCGCAGAGACAGCCAGGGGAGCTAATGGTCTGGAGGAAAGGCCTAGGTCCATCTCCTTCTTGTGACCGATGGGAAGACCCAGATCCAGAGATGCGCAGCTGCCATCACTGCCCCTCAGTACTGCCCCGCTGAGGCTGTGCCAGGGCCAGAACGCAGGTTGCCGGCAGCTAGACTCAAGCCTCTTTCCTAACACTGCTGCCTCTCGCTGGGGTCCTGGATACCTATCTTGGATTAGATAGAAACGTAATAGGCAACTGCTTCAAACGTATTTATTTTTTACAGATCCTAAATACATTGATAAATCCTCAGTGCACATCGGCATAATGTGATGACAGGACTGGAATCACACCACTTTCCAGCTGGCACTGATCTCATGGGGTGGGTGGCAGCTTTCTGAGGGGATCCACAGGAGTGGCCGCTCAGGCCGTCAGCAGGGAACTGTGTTCACTCAGGCGCTGTGCTGGGGATGAGCTGCCACCTTGTGGTAGGTTCACACCTTACTGTCTTTGGAGCCCTGGAGCATTTCTAAAGCATCTAAACCCTGATCAGGATGCGCGTGAGGCCACAACAGGGACGTGCGGAGCTTCCTGTGCTTGGATGCATCACATTTTTTAATCACACGGCTGCAATACAGAAATGCATCCGAAGGCTTGGGCCTGCAGTGCCAGGCCCGGACGGATCATCAAGTGCCCTGTGGTTTCCAGCTGACTGTGGAAGTGACTCTGGAGTCCTTCACTGTGTGCTCGTTAACATCCTATTCCATGGATGATGCTCCATACTTCTCAAAGCCCTTTAAATCTACTCGCTTGTTTTCTTCCAGGCACTCTGGCTTACTTCCCTTCTTCTCACCGGCGCTGGTTTAGACCTGTCAGATTCTTGAGCTGACACAAAGAGGGAAAGAGTAGTGAGATCTTGCCCTGCCTTGAAGAAAGCACTGGGAAAGACCAAGGTTTGCAAGGCAGCAGGCATGGTTATGACACCCCAGAGTTCTGGAATCAGTAAAGTTTCCTGGTGCCAGTAAAAAAAAACCTACTGAGGTAGGGCATTTTGCATCAAGACTGACACTGGGGCTGAACCAGTGTCAGTCTTACTATTAGCTTTGAGTTTAAGGCTACGAGCTATGTGGGGTCAGTGACACAAGAGTAAGCTTCAGGGGGCCAGAGCAGGATGCGGGTAGGCAGGGGTAAGTTGGGCAGTACTCACTGTCACCGCTGCACCCATGAGTCCTTGCACCAGTGCCTCTCCAGTAGACTTTACCTAGAAGAGTACAGGTCAGGTTCTCTTAAGTACCAGCACCAGCTCAAAGGTGGGAAAGGGACAAATCAGGAAGCCTATGAGCCCCCACAGGTGAGGTCACAATGGAGGAGGAGCCTATGGACAACACACAAGGGGCAAGGCACAGCTCTTAAGGAAGGGCTGGTAGGAGGAGGAACCAGCCAGGCTCCCTGCAAGGACCCTTGGAATAGTCAGCTGAGGCCCTAGAGAGCAAGACATCAGCTGTGGCCTGAGGAGGATGGGTGTGCTGACTGAAGAGGTTTCCAAATGGCCGGTCCCCAGCTACCTGCTTGGCAGTATGGCCCATGTTCATTGCATCATTAATCCGGTTTTCCAGGAAGCGCCAAGTATCCTCAAAATCTGGGGACGAGTCCTGCATCATCACCAGCTCTGTTGTGTTGTAGATGCCAGCTAGCACGGCTCGGCGGGTGTACCAGTTAAACTGCAGAGAAACGCCGCCAGGAAGGTGTGTTACTACTGCTGCTCTGGGCGGAGGGGAGCCTGAGGAAGTTCCTCCCCAAGACTTCAGGGACTCCCAGGCTCCCTTCTAATTTCTTCTTTCTCTCAAGATACATGCGATGTCTACATTAATGTCAAAAGCCTGGCTGGGCATCAGAACCGCCTGAGCTCCTGGGCTCAATCTCCAGCATTTACAGTCAGTGGGCTTGAACGATATCAGGATGTTGAATCAGCATCCCAAGTGATCTGAGGACCTCTAACCCATTTGGACCTGCTTGGGAAAAGACCAAATCTTAGGACATCTGAGTCCCTGGGAGGTGCTGCAATTAGCCAGTTACGACCAAGCCTTTGTGTGTTTGTAAGCAGGGTGAGGGCTGAGGCAGGATCAGGGACAGGTTATAACACCTGGGCAGAGCTGAGAGTTCAAGTCCCTCCACGACTTCTGCTGGTTCTGGCTAACGACCCTTCAGGGGACCAGCTCAGCTGCTTGTTGTTTTATTCCTTTAATTTCTTCGCTTTCTAATTTCGTTTTCCTATCATCTCTGTTGGTGGTATACTCCCCCATGGAGGAGGCTTATTAGAGCACTTTGTTATAAGTGTGGTGGGAGTATCTGTGTGCCTCCTTATCTTGGATCCCACAAAATACCATCACAGTTTAATTTATTTTATGAAGGTGTACTCTGTTTTCTTTATTTCCCACCAGAAACATGGTAACATTAACAAGTCAGATATTTTCCTCATTTATACCCTTTTAAAAGAACTTATTGATTACTTAGCAAAGCAGGCCACGATGGTAGGGGAAGGCAATTTCTTTTTAAAGAAATGCACGTCTCTGTGTCATTCTTTATTTTTTTCAAAAGTCAGTCTCAGGAAAGACAAACACTGAGGGATTCTGCGGCAGAATCTGTATCTTAGCAGAGTGAGGAGAAAACGGTTGTAAAAAAAGTAGTCCAATCACAAGGGCTCTTGGGGCCTCATGCAGTCACTGTAGGCGGGAAGGAATAATCACTGTTTGTGGCTAGAATGCTGCTCTCTGAGTAAAGATGACCCAGATTTACTGAAGGCCTTCCTCAGACCTTAGATGGCAACGATACTGTACACATGTGGGTACACACACATACACACACACACTTGTGATCAAAGAAATTTCACAAAATTGCTGAAGAAATGCTTAAGTCAGGCCTTTCCTGATGTACAGTGGACCTGCAGAAAACACTCACATCAGTGGACTGGTCCCCAGCATAATGCCACATTTCATCCACCATGCTGGTTAGCAGGCTTAGGCTGGGTGGGATGTTTTGAGGGAGCAGAAGGATGCTGAGGGCCTGCGGAGAGAATAACAGGAAGTTTCTGTACACAGGGAACAACAGCACCTAGGTGGCTCTACAGAGTACAGCTCTGGTTCTGAGACCCACAGTCTCCACCCCTAGTGCGAACTAGCAGCTAATGACCCTGACTACAGCTGATGGGAGCCAGGTCATGCTTTTATCCTAAGCTGGCCCAGTCAAATTCTCCCTCCCTAACATTTGGAATTGGGAACACAGACAGCCCAAGGGTCCAGATTGGTCTGGAGTCCTGAAAGCAAGCACGGTGAGGGCACCCCACTCTGTCACAAAGTTAGAAGCAGACGGCAGGAGAGGGCAAAAGGGAAGGGAATGTAGGGCGGCTTCTAGGATCACACACAAGGCCACCCCCAGGGCCCAGCAGCAATCCTGCCCAGGAAGTACCACCTCAGTATCACAGTAAATTCCTCCCCATTCTTTTGCTCAATTCAAGTTGACTTCTATTTCCTAAAAGCAAAAATCCTTCAGTTTATACTAGCAGTGACTCAAACCAGACCACTCTCCTAGCAGACACAGCGCCACCCAGCCTGCTAAGTCCAAGTTGTATCACTTTACAAGTGCTAAAATCTAGGGGCTGTTGCCTGGGGAGCTGGACTGGCTGGAAGTTTTCTTAGTGAAACAGCTCAGAAGGAAACTGCATGAATCAGCGAGGCAGTGAGGGCCTGATGTGTACGCTTCCAGGGGTTCAACTGCAGGAGGCAGGACTGACTCGTGCTGCATTCCCCTCACACCCAGCTGGGGCCAGGCACAAAACAGGGGCTCAGGTATCTGTCAACCAGAAGGCTGAAATTACAAGCTCAAAGGAGTCTTCCAGCTGGACTGCAGATATTGAATGCTTCAGTCCTTCACATTTCTGACATGTTTTGACTCTGAACTCAAGGAATGGATGGCGGGTGTGGTGGCACATGCCTGTAATCCCAGCACTCCGGAGGCAGAGGCAGGAAGATGTTGTGAGTTTGAGACCAGCCTGGGCTACAAAGTGAGCTCAAGGCCACCCTAACTGCATAGTGAGACCCTGTCTCAAAAAGACAAAAAAAAAAAAAAAAAAAAAAACACCTCAAGGAATGGCTCACACTGTGACATGATTTGACATAGGAAAAAGAAACCCTCAGAAAAGTTGAAAAAAAACAAACAAACATGGAATGAATACTCCTTTATCCAAGGATCACAATGAAAATTGGACAACAAGTCCCAGTCCTTGAGATCAGAAACACGACAGGGCTATTAAAATTATTATTTGGAGAGGGACACAGTCTCACTATCTAATTCAAATTGACTTTGAACTTGTGGTGATCCTGTACCTCAGCCTCCCCGGGCTAGGATTACAGATGTGTGCCACTACACCCAGCTAGTACGGAGCTATTACTGAAGATAAGCAATAAAATCTTCTGCCAATTTTAACCTCTTTTAGAGATTCTTCCTTGTGGAAGATCTAGTGGCACACTCAGGCCACTAGACCCTCATCTGAGATGTGCAGCCACTCATGTCCAGGAATTGTGACACAGATGGCTTAGAGTTGCTCTCTTTGCATGCCCAAGCTTGAAACCTAGCTCTACCAACCATACCATGTATTCCTGGGCTTATGGAGAAGAATAAAGAGCTAAGTTCTCAATAGTGTGCAAGGTCCTCTGAGTGAAAGGTGTTGAGAATGAGAAATATTGTATCATTGGTGCTTTGGGGCCTGGATATGGACTCTGTACCCGGGGCCAGTGCTCAATGTACGGGATCAGCATTCTCAGTCTGGTTTCCACTGCATCCCTCAGGAACTGGTCTGTCTTCCTCTTCCTGGAAGAGGGAAAAGAAAACAGTGTGTCTCTGGGTCACAGGCAGGGGTTCAGTGCGGCATTGCTCACTCAACCTGGGGAGGCAGGTCCCACCGGCTCCTGACACTGATCTCATGAAAGCTGCTACACTGGGTCCCTTCCAAGCAGCAAGGCTGTTAGTGCTACTCACGTTTGGCTCTGTTTGGGTTGGTTTTCTGGGATCAGCTGTTGCAATCAGAGTCCCCCTTCCTCAGCAGTCACCCTGAGTGACAGGACTTACTCTGCCTGGCCCAGCTGCACCAGCTTCTGCTCCTCTTGTAGAATGTGGGTAAGCCGAGTGTTGCACTGGGTTACAAAATGCAGTATCAGCTCACTGCCGTTGTTCTCAAACATGCTGGCTGCTGCACTGGAGAGACCCAGCGACTACAGGAAGGGAAAAAAAAACAAAACAAAACAGAAACGTGGTGGGCAGGGGTCATGGATGTTTGTTGCCAGGTCATCAATGTGCCTCTTCCAGTTGCAGGGGTGGGACACTTTCTGCCAGACCCCCACTCTTCACTCCAGCCCCTCTGATTCTGGTGAAGCTGACCACCACCAGCCCCTGCAACTCCCACCAAGACCCACAGTGTGTGTGCGAGGCATGGGCTCCAGGCTTGCACGACCGGAGGGGAATGACTAGCTCTGGAGTGGGCACATGACTGAGTGAGCTCTTAGAAGTGTACCTAGCACTGAAAGGAAAGTCCTCTTTCCACTGGGGCTGCTATGCCATTTTCAGTCCTGCACAGGAAGTGTACACTGAGAGGGAGCTTGGAGAGGAAAGCAAAAAAAAGCGTCACAGACAGTAGCAGCACAATCTAGGACTGAGCCAGAGTTACTTCCAGACTTTCCTGTCATTACATGAGCCCAAGCATCCCCCTTCTACCAGGGGTAAGCAATAGCTGAGCTCTGGTACCTGAACCCTGGAGCCCCAGTACCACCAGGCCCCTGGGGGAAGCACTCAGAACTCCCTGCCTAACCCACTCACTTCACCTGGATTTCTTGGACATCAGATCTGTCAGTGTTTAGAACAAAACTTTCTCAATGAGTTGTCAAGGAGTTAACAGAGCACAGAAAGCTTTTGAGGGCCCTGATGCATAGCAATCACTGAGGACTGTTGAGAAGCTTTTATTGGAAGCAGAACTGACAGCAGCAGGAAAGGAACACAAATATATTAGATGTGCATTCCTACTGCTAGGAGGGAAAACTGCCTCTCTTTTGGAAAAGCGTGTAGCTTTTATAGAGGGCAAGTTGGCAGAAAGAGCTACAGGATTAACACGGTGAGGGTGTGCTTACTACATGCAGGCACTTTGCTAGCACCTGCATCATCACAACAGCTGTGTTGGGTGGGTATTATTATCACCACTTTATAAATGAGGAATCTGGGGGTTTAAGCGCTTGTCCACAAGGTTAGATGCCCTTTATAAGGGTGTAAAAAGAACCTCAAGAATATACCTACTCGTGGACCAGCTAGGAAGTCAATGTCAGTTCCAAACCTATCCTTCAGGGCTTATACTGTGATGCAGAGGCTGGGACGCAGCAAAGCACATTTCTGGCTCCCCTGACAAGACCTACCACAGGGTCCCTAGAGTCGGGCGGAGGAGGAAGAAGGGACTGGCTTCTTCCTGTTGCCAGCTGAGGTTCCTGGGAGCAGCACCCCAGTGAGGCCTCTTCACCGGCAGCCACAGCTCACTCCTGAAGCAGCAGCTCAACCCAGTCTGCAGTTATCCCAACACCCACAGAACTGACTTGACCTACCACCGCCCTCTCCTCATGCTCCTAGCTCTGCCTCTCAGGGTGGGTGGCATCCCCAAAGGATCCTCCCTCCCAGCACAGACTCCAGTGCTAGCTTAGCAGTGTCTCTTCTTCACAGACCTGAGATTCCCCTTCTTGGGGCTGTCCTTCCAGCATCCAGTTTGAATACAGTAAGTCCTCGATTTACAAATATTCGAGTTGGGAACTTGCACAGGTGTACTGTGTAAGACTCATTGTCAGCTTATGAATGAATCCAAGTCTGACCTAAGAACAATGGAACGAATGGAACTCGTTTGTAAGTTAAGGACTTACTTTATTCCTACTCTTCCTTTTGGTCCCTCAGCCTTGGCTGGAGCTGCTTCCTGCAGTTACTTTCTCCACAGTATCTTATTCTTTTCATCCTGTTACAACCACCCCCAAATCTGGCCGGCTTCCACTGGGCCTGCTCTTGAAAACACCACCATGAACCCACATGCGTAAGCTGGCAACACTGGGGCCATCTCGTCCCATGTCCAATGTTCCACCAAACCCACCCCTTATTTCTAGTGCAGTGCCATCACTCTAAGCCAGACAGCCTCATCTCTCCCGGAGGGCTGCAGCAGCCCCTGAAGACTCTATCTGGCTCCATCTACTCCCACTCGCTCAGCAATGCTGTGAAATGGAAACTCAACTCGGTATCTTTGATTAGTCTTAGAACAAAAGCCTATATCCCTGACCTTTAGCACGTTGTCAGATTTGAAAGAACTGTCAAAGCGCCACAGACTTTCTCCAGTCTTACTCAAGTCTCTCTCCCTTCACTGTGCTTGATGGTTTCCTTTGGTTCTCCTAACACCACATGCTTCTTTCCAGTTTCTGCATGTAACTTCTCTATCTGGATTTGTCCATCCCCCGGGTCCCTGCTCAAGTCAGATAAAGCAAGAGTCATTCCTCAGTTCACAGCCTTTACAGATCAGGTCACTCTACTGCATGTCCTGATAGCACCTTTTCTTGATAGCACATGTCACATTTTAGAAGTATACACAGTATATGTTTGATTAATCCCTGCAGCAAGCTGGGGATGAGATGTGACTGTCCTTCCCGCAGGTTGTTCTCACATGGTATCTAGATGACTTTGTACACATGGCCTAAACATGAGCCTGTTACTTCATCTACAGCAGCTGTCTGTTGCAATGAAGGATCAAAAGCTGTCAGACTTACTGACAGAAATACAGTGTGTTGGTCTCAAGTCGTATCCTCTTGGGGGTTTTCAAATATCACATCTCATTAATTCTATGATGCACATTTTTTTTTTTAGACAGTCTTACTATCTAGTTCAGGTTGCCCTTGAATTCATTATACAGACCGGGCTAAAATATGGTAATTTTGATCACAACTATTTCTTAGCTAAGGCTGTCTTAGAAAACGTAGTTCCTGCCAGGCATGATAGTACACACCTATAATCCCAGTACTGGAGAGGCTGAGGCAGGAGGACTGCCGCATAAGTTTCACAGCAGCTTGGGATACACTGTGAGTTCAAGGCCAGCCTGGACTACATAGTGGCAACTCTTTAAAATTAAAAAACAATCCCATTTCTACCTTATTGTCCACTCCCCCCGACCCCCCGGCTCCAAAAAAAAACCCTAAACAACCAAACAAAGCCAGACAATCCTGCTGGGAGCACTCTGAACTGGGCTGGAAGGCATGAGGCACTCTCACATGGTCTGACTCCTGGCTGTCACTGCTCAGGCTGCGCCACCTCACCTATACACACCTGGGCTCCCTGGGCAATGGCCTCTGCTGTCCAGCCATGGGCAGGTACAAACTCCAGGGCTGCTGTCAGGATGCGGTGCTGCAGCTGCTCCTCGCTCTCATAGTCCTCCTCCTCTTCCCCGCTCTGGTCTGTGTACCTGGGACACAGAGACAGAGGCCCCCACACTTCACCTCCCTGTTCACTGCCTGACAGGCAAGATGGGTGATAAGCACACGAGAAGAGGACATTAACTTCTGTGTCACTATGGATATTTTCCTGCCAATGAAAACACTGGCATCTTTGTCATCTGATCACTGGCAGAAGGGACCCAGTGAGCCCATCCATACTGTCATATGAAGCCAATGCCCTACCTTGAGGTCCTGGGTTTCCCTGTTTACAGCCTTTAGCACACTATGCTCGAGGGCTTCCTTATCTGTAATCTGCACCACACTGTAACTCTACCTTCTCATGAAGGGGGATGGCTGCATTATTCACAGGGCCAGGCACACAGAAGATCTTCAAAAAATACTTGTTGAATTGAAATCAAAAGTACTTTAACTAGGAAACCAGATACAGATGATGAATGCGCTCATTTTACATTGAAGAACACTCAATTTCCAGCGACAGGAATAGTAAACAAATCTAATGGCAATGTAACTTACTGCCTTTTGGGAAGACAATTTGGCCCCACATATGTAACTAACATTAAATGTGCTTATCTTTTATCTGCCCCTCCTTCCCCCTCTTCTTCCTTCCCTCCCTCTTCTTGCTAGGAATCAAGCTCAGAGCCTTGTGCTTGCTGGGCAAGCATTCTACCACGGAGCCATGCTCCCAGTCCAAATAAGCTATCTTTTGACTCAGCACTCCCACTTCTAAGAAGCATCACACATTTTCTTTTCTGTTTTTTTCTGTCTTTTTGAGACAGGGTCTCACTATGCAGTTCAAGTTGGCCTTGAGCTCACTTTGTAGCCCAGGCTGGTCTCGAACTCACAACAATCCTCCTGCCTCTGCCTCCCAAGTGCTGGGATTACAGGCAGGTACCATCACGCCTGGCTTTATACATTTTCTTATACTATCCTTCACACCATGAAGGAATCCAAATGTTCATCAGTAAGAGAGGTTAAATAAATTTTGGTACACTCATTGCTGCAATGTTGTATAACCACTAAAATAAGGTAAATTATGTAAAGACATTAAAAATATTACTGTTGAATAAAATAACAGGCTCTGGGACATCAGTAGAGCATAATCAATCATGTATTATATATACATTTATATGTGAAATACGATTAGAGAAACGTTTAAGAGGATATTCACAAAAATGTCAGCAGGATTATCTCTGTGCAGGATTTCAGGTAATTTCTGCTTTATTTTTGTGAACTTTTCAGTATTGTTTAGATGTATCAAAATGTTTTAGGAACCACTTTTATGAAAACAATAGGTTCTTTTCAAGGATAGCCTTGGAAATGATGGAACATGAATAAGGCAATGGAAAGGAGAGAGGAAGTAGAGGAGACAGAGTTATCCACGCATGCAAACTGGCCACGAACGGCTGGACTGGGGTTCTGGCACCTACCTGGGGGGTGGGCGAGGAGGTTCTGCATGGGGTTTTTCTGTCCCCTGTGTCTCAGAATGCTGCTCAGAAAAAGATGGGGGAGGCTGCTGCTTGTGCTCCTCTGAAGACCTTAGTCGCACAGCTGAAGCACGGAAGGCACGAGACACCGGGGGCGGGTGGCAGCGCGACACTGAAACAGAAGCTGAGCTGGTCAGCCAGAAAATTCACCAGAGGAGGTTGAGGCCCACAGTGGAAATAAAAACCAGGAGGAAACGCAGGGCAGAGGCTCCTCGAAGCACTAACCCTTTACCCCACACAAAAATGTTGGGTAAACGAGCACCTGCAGACAATGATGGTGAACAGAACACCCACCTGGCTGTTCGGCCTGTAGCCTGTTTCTACCACTTGCCTGATGGGTGGTAATATACCTCAACACATTGTTTGTTTGTTTGTTTTTTCTTTTTTTTTGGTACGGAGGTTTGAACCCAGTGACTGCCACACGGCCACATCTCCAACCTTTACTATTTGTTATTTTTGAGACAGGGTCTTGCTAAGTTGCAAGTCCAGACTGGACTTGAACTTGTGATTCATCTGCCTCAGCCTCCCAAGTAGCTGGGACTATAGGTAGGCATGCACCACCACACCCAGTTTGGCAGTAACTTTAAAAGGGGTTAGGGTCATCTTAGGGAGGTGGCCTTGGGTGAAACTACATTAATGTGTGTTCAAATCTTTATAGGCCAAGGTTAAGGCCTAGTTAAGAACAGGGTACAGTAGGATCATTATGTACTTCAAACACTTACACAAAATGTGAGAAAGGGCCCAAGAGACGCAGGCAGGGCGAGGGAGAGGAGAGGCAGGGGTTAAAAAAAGAATTAAGAAATGTCATGTACAAGTACCAGCTCCCCAATGTAATCAGTATGTATAACTAACATGACCAGTTTAAAGAAAAAATAGAGCAGTGAAGAGCCTGGCTGGAGTTTTGTCAAGGAGAGAATCTTTGTCAGATATACTGATTTATGAAAAACTACACAAATCTATAAAAAAATATACTAAGCAAAAATCTTACAGAAAAAATACATTTAAATGAAATCTTAGGATAGGGAAACTAAGGTAAAACAAAACAATGTACAGTTAAAGATCTGGCACAATATAGATGAGGTACGAGACAGATTTCTGGGGTAACGGTAATGGTCTCGCTATAAGATTTTAGGATATGCAAATGTATACAACTGTCACAATTTACAACTGTCACAACTGTATAAGATTTGTGTGCTTCACTATATATTAGTAGCACTCAACAGAAGAAGAGTAAATGGTGGAGGGATACACCTCAGTGATGCAGCACTTGCCTAACATGCATGAGGCCATGGATTCAACCTCCAGTAGAGCAAAAAACAAAACAGTAAACACTGAACTCTGGTTAAGGACATGTATACTGAATGTTTAGAGATAAACAATATTGAGATCTGCAGTAAATACATCAGAAATCAAACTGAAGTAATGAATGGCATAACAGATATTCAGAAGCTATTGTGGATATACAAGTGTTCACAACTCCTTCAACTTGTCTGTATGTTTGAAAATTTTTATGATATAATGTTGGGGAAGAAGAAAGTATGAGTTTATGCTCAGGAAACACACTCCTGACTTTTAGTAAGTGGGGAGGTATATGCAACTTAGTAACACCCTGACTCAAAATTTAAAAAGGCCTGAGGATGTAGCTCAGTGCAAAGGCTCCACATACAATTCGCAGTAATGCAAAAAGAGATGCCATAAATATACCTCAAACCTTTTTGTAGACATGTGCTCTTATTTCTTTTGCATAAATATGTAAAAGTAGATTTGCTGGGTCATAGGCATTATTTTTACTAAACATATTTAGCCTGGAATTTTGTATCAAAAGTTAGAAAAAGGCATTCATTAAAAAAAAAGGGGGGGTCCAGGCGTGGTGGTGTATGCCTGTAATCCTAGCACTCAGGAGGCTGAGGCAGGAGGATCGTTGCAAGTTCGAGGCCAGCCTGAGCTATAGAGTGAGCTCAAGGCCAGCCTGAACTACATAGCAAGACCCTGTCTCAAAAAGACCAAAAAAAAAAAGGCCTAGGGAAACCAGGCATGGCAGCATATGCCTGTATTTCCAGCACTTGGGTGGCTAATGCAGCAGGACCTCAAGTTCAAGACCAGCCTGGGCTCCACAAAGTTCAAGGTCAGCCCAGACCACATAGCTAGATGACCCTGTCTCAGCAAACAAATAACTCAGGAAAAAAATGACATTGAAAGAAACACAGAACAGTATATAAAAAATGTCAGTATTTTAGTATACATACTAAAAGGGAAAAAATTCCCTAAATGGAAAAAAAATGGAGCAAACATCCCTAACTTTGAAAAGGAAACGTGAGGTCCCAAAGTATGATTTTGGAACAACTATTCATAAGGAAAAATATCAAGGGAAATCCATATGTGGTGGCACAAGCCTGTAATCCCAGCTGTTCAAGAGGCTGAAGCAGGAGGACAGCTGTTTGAGTCCAGCCTGGGCAACTTACTGAGATTCTGGTTTCTCAAAATATAAAAAGGGCTTGTGATGTAACTCGTGCAAAGGCCCTGGGTTCAATCCCCAATACCAGCAAAAAATTGTTTTCAAGTGAAACAAAAGAGACTATCTCATTAGGCACGTATTTATGTTAGTATGTCAATGCGTTGTACGTTCCGTTTGTGGAAGGTGATATGGTTTTCTACTCATGATAGTGATATAAAGGTTCCTTTTTAAGTGAATGTCTATTTTTAGGATATTCAGACGCATAAACAAAAATAGAGTATATAGCAACAAAGGTGGCAAAAGAATGTCACAGAATTAGTGAAACAGTAAGCAACATGGCTGACTTGGGATAACAGACTGGACCGCTATATCCTTTTCCAACTGTTCTTCGGGAGATCCTGGTCCCGGGACCAATGACAATGGACTTCAGAATGCGTCTGTGATCGTCAGTTCTGCAGCCAACAAGCACTCCCAGCCCTCTCTGAAGCCGTTCATTACCTCTTGACCCCGGAGTGACAGGCTCTGCCCTGCAGCTCTAGCCCCTCACCGCTGAAGCAAGCCGGCCAACCAGCTCGTTCCAGGCCGCTACGCCCTTCACCTCACCTTCCTCCGGGTCACCAGGTTAAGCTTCTTCGCCCCGCACCCAGCCCTGGCCGGCCTCGCCCGGCTACCCCGGTCTCCCCTTCTCCCTGGCTTGGTCGCCTCCTCACCAGGTAGGCAACGCAGCTGCAAAAGCCTCCAGCCCGCCCGGCCTAGGACGCCAGTCACCGCCGCTGCCGCCGCCATCTTGGAAGCGGGCACCCGCGCTGACGACAGCGACGCGACGGGTAGAAAACACCGCACAACTGGTTCCGCCCTCTTCCGCGGGGGCCTCCTTCTCCTCTCGCGAGAGGCGTGAGACGCAGACGGGGTGGTTACAGCGAAGCCGGGAGCCAGCCAGGCGCGAGGTGAGTGTGTTCGAGGTAATCCGAGTCCTCAGCCCTTCCCAGCGGTCCTCTCTGGGCCCACTGTTGACCTGCATTCCCCCATTTTCTCTTCCCAGCCCTCTTAGGGCTGTGGCCTCGGCCATCCCGCGGAGAACCCTCGGGGAACCCCCGAGGGCTTGTGCTGGGGAAGCCGGTGTGAGGGGCAGCGCCGGCCGTGCTCGTCCCGGGCTCCTGGCGCGGTGGCTTCGGTCCTCCGTACGCGCGCAGCCGGCCTCGGGCACTGCGCGGGAAAAGCCCCGAGCTGGGGCACGGGGACGCGGTCTGCGGCTCGGTCCTAGCCGGAGCCAGCCTTTGTGACCTTGGGTCTCAGTTCCTAAGAAGTTTTGGTCTCGGACGGACCCGGGTAGCACGATACGAAAGCTTAGGTATGTCCGAACCCCCAGGTTGTCAGTTTGAACTCAGGACTTGTGTGAACTTCCAACGTATTGAGTATTTCCCAAACTTGCTGGATCGGACGAATCTAGGATGCTTGTTAATAAAACAAACATCCAGGTTTTTGTTCCAGAGGGAACAAAATTGTTCGCCTGATTCAGTGTCTAGGCGTGGTCCAGAACCCTTGCTTTAGCTAACAATGGCTCCGGGTGATTTGTAGGATCTGTGAAGTTTGGGAGAGGCTGGTGTCCTTGTTTCCCGCATTTCTGAGTGACTTGGGTGGCTAGCCAAGGTCAGGGTGTTGTTGCTAAATTGAAATGTAAATGCAGAGTAGCACCTCCTTGGGGTACCATTAGGGAAGGCTTAATAATAGGAAGAAGTAAATGGTTTGGTTTTTTGGATTGGGAATAACTGCCACAGGAGCAGGTACTTCTGTAAATGTGTTTGAAGTCCGACCCTTTTATTTATTTATTTATTTATTTGTCTTTTTTGAGACAGGGTCTTGCTATGTAGCTGTGTAGTTCAGACTGGCCTTGAGCTCACTTTGTAGCCCAGGCTGGTGATCTCTCAGCGATCCTCCTGCCTCAGCCTCCCAAACGCTGAGACAGGCATGCGCCACCACACCCAGCTAAACAAATTTGAGCATCGAACTGAGGACCTTGGGTTTGCCAGGCAGGTGCTTGTGCCCTTGAGCTATATCCTCTGCCCCCATCTTCTTATCTGTTAAAATTATTTTGCACTTTTTGTCCCGCCAACAACCTGGTCTCCTCCAGCATGGGCGTGGGGAAAGACATTTTGAGCCAAAAATTTGTCCAAATTTCAAATTTATTTATTTGGTGCAGCACTAGGAATTGAACCTAGGGCCTTTGCAGTGAGCTATATCCTCTAGTTGTCCCCTCTCCCCTATTTGGAGAGGGTGTCTCACAGAGTTGCTAATTGACCAGGCTGTGCTCAAACCTGTGCTCCTTCTGCCTCAGCAGTCTGGTCTCAAACTCACAGGCCTGATTTTCTTTGTTTCAGCCTCTGAATAAGTGAGATATAGGTATGTACCACTGTGCCTATCTAGGCTTTATTTTCTGAGTTCTGCCTACCTATCTTTGAGTAGGTCTTCCTTGTGGAAAGTAATATTTGACATTAGGGTTGGAATCAGGGCTTTGCACATGCTAAGGCAGGACACACTACAATGAACTATACTCCAGCCCCAATTCTGTCACATAAATGTAAATATAAATAAGTATACATACGTATATGGTTTGTTTTGTTTTGAGATGGGGTTTTGCTATGTTATTCAGGCGGGCCTTGAGCTCACTGTAGCCCAGGCTGACCTGGAAATCCTGGTGACCCACCTGCCCAGCCCATTAATTCTCTTGCCTTTGAAAAAGAATTTCTTTTCCCATTGTGTACATGGGAGCTTCAGTTTGTTAATTTTTAGTTAAAATTTCACTTCCTGATAACTATCAGTATTTGGAGAATTTTTTTATGCTCCTAATTTAAAAAGACTTGATCCTTGACTTAAACTAAAGCTCAAACTTCAGTCTTATTTTTAACTTTTGGCTACCTGCGTGTATGTGTTACTGGAGATTGAACTTGGACCTTGCATATACTAGGTAAGTATTCTACCATTGAGCTACATCCCCAGCCCTCGGTCATCCTCTCCCTCCCAAGGAGGAAGCAAGATTTAATATTTCTTGGGTTAAAAATAAACGAGTGCATTTGCATGTGATATTCACAGACATCCGCTTTTACTGTCTACCTATACCATTTTATAAGAGCAATGGGTAAGTGTATGCAGTAGTCAGTTGGAGAGGTATCTGACAAACAAGGTCAATGATGTGACAAGGTCTTCTACTCCACCACCTCTTTTTAGTTGTGAAACTGGGTCCTGAGTCATCGCTCCTAAGTATGTTGGCTTAGATGCTGGGCATTTTTTCCTTCTTTTTTTTTTTTTTTTAAAACAGGTTCACAATAAGAAAACAAAACTCTGATGATGAGAAGTATCACACTTTTGGCTTTAAAAAAATTAAAAGAATATTGTCTCCTATTAGAAAATGCTGACTGAAAGTAGGGGCAATCCCTATTTGGAGGGAGTTGATATTTAATAAATGTATTTTATGAGTTCCCTGTAGCCATGAGATTAGTTCGAGGAGATATGAAAACAAGGCATTTTATTCACAGTCTTCTAATTTACTGACACAGCCCTAGGAGGTGTTGTCTAAGATGTCTTGAAGTGTAGCCTTCACACTGCAGTTCTAAGGGAAAGGAAGCTTGTTAGGAGGACTCTCAGGAGGAAGGTTACTACTGACAAGCATGGCTGAGGGGGACGAAGAACATTTTATAGGACTATTTGTAGCAAAGGCAGATAAACTGGCACTGAAGAAGAAGCCCAGCATTCTCTTAGCATATTGTTTCACTGAACCCTACCAGATCCTGCTGACTGCTTTACATGTATCTTTTCATTATTTTTTACAGCAGCCATGCAGAATACGAGGTTACTGTCCCTGTTCATTGGTGGGAAAATAGATTCAGAAGACAGCAACTTATGGTCATGTATCTAGTAAGAAGACCCATTGGTAGAACTTCAGGCCATTTATTTCTTAAAATTTACTACCTAGCAATCTGTACTCATCTTCTCTGGCTGTTTTTTAAATGTGAAATTGATCCCAAGTTGCTCATCTTAAAAGATTTTGCAAGGGTTTTCTTCAACATCATGTGACAAAAGCTTAACAGTTTCAGTTTTCAGTGTGTGATGTTTTAGGAATTTAAAATCCACAATTAAATAACTAATGAAGCCTGCCTGCCTGCTGCCTGCATCCTTTTACTGGGGATTATAGTCAGATCAGGATTGGTAAAGGATATTCACATGAAGACAAGTAAAAGGCATGATAGAGTGAAAATAGATTTTCCATAGAATAAGGATTTGTGTGTGAATGGTGCACTAGATTATGAAGGCCTTGAATCCAGCAGGCTAAGGATGCTACAGTCCTAACCCTTTCTATTTTGAGACAAGTTCTTGCTAAGTTGCCCGGTTGGACTCAAACTTCTGATCTTTCCGCCTCAGCCTCTCAGACTGCCTGCATTACAGGCCTGTGCCACCATGCCTGGCTCAGACTAAGGAGTTTTTTTCTCTAAAAATTAAAATCATCAGTAATTGAAAGTGGCTGGAGGTGTTGCTCAGTGGTAGGACACTTGCCTAGTATGTGCAAGGCCCTGGGTCCAAACCCCAGCACTGCCAAAAAGAGAAAGATGACTCTGCCTTGTAGACGGAGGAGTCATTTGTTTTTCCTAGTTTTTGTTTATGGTATTTACTTTGTTTTGAGACAGGGTTTTGCTTTATACTAGTTGAGGATGCCCTTGAACTCACTATGTAGCCCAGGCTGGCCTATGAACTCAGAACAATCCTCCTGCCTTAGTTTCCAAGTGCTGGGATTATAGGTGTGTACCACCATGCCCAGCCAGGAGACAGACGTGTAAAGGGAACATTTTTAAGGAAGGAAGAATGTAGTGTGCACAGTTTACATTTAGGCCCAGGATAATTGTCATAATTGTCACCGTCAGCCACCCCTGCAGAAGTCAGAAGTGTTCAGGATAAGATTAATCCATGTTTGATCCTCTACCACCATTTCTGTCTTTAATTTCTTTCACCTATTTTAAGTCAGAAACTTGGTGGCATTAGTGTTGAAGAGAGAAGGAGAACCTGGCCATGGCTAGGTGTGGTGGTGTACTCTTGTAATCCCAGCATTTAGGAGACTGAGACAGGAGGATAGCCATGAGTTTTAGGCCAGCCTGAGGTACATAGTGAATTCAAGGCCAGCCTGAACTACATAGTGAGACCCTATTTCAAAAAAAAGTAAAATTAAATAAAAGAAGCTGGCAGTGGTGGCACACACCTGTAATCCCAGCACTCAGGAGACTGAGGCAGAAGGATACATGAGTTCTAGGCCAGCCTGGGTTGCATAAGTAAGTTCAAGGTCAGCTTGCACTACATAGCAAGGCCCTGTCTCAAAAAAAAAATAATAATAAAGAATGAAGATAAACATGCATCTTTTGACCTAAATTCACTGTAAACACTACATACTCACCTGTGTAACAAGTAGAAGAGAAAGTTGACCCACAGTGTAAAATTTCTGTATTTAAACATGGGCTTCATGAGCAGATAGATTGGGATTCAAGTCCTAGCCCATACTGTATCCTTGTAACTCTTCTGGTTATGTGACTTGCACAATGTCAATTGCCTTATCCCTTGAACTCATTATGTAGCTCAGGTTGACCTCCAATTCATGGTAATCCTCCTGTCTCAGCCTCCCAAGTGCTAGGATATCAGGTATGTGCCACCACACCTGGCTGAATTTTTATATTTTTTTTAATAAAAGAAAAAATAGTATTCAGTTTGCAAAACTTAAATGTGCTGTCTCTTTTAAAAAAAAAACATGAATTGTGGTTGGGTTGTGTCTGCCAATTTATTTGCTGTCCTTGCTGAATCATGCTTCTGCTTAATTAATGCCCTGTGTGTTTTGTATTGTTTAAAAGCTAACTTGCTTCAAAGAAGAAATAATCTTTCTGTTTCTAACCTCCTTACTTGTCTCTAAACCCCAGCTGCCCACCCCACCTCAGTTTTTTTGCTGTGCTGGGGATCAGTCCAAGGGTTAGTGCTTTACCACTAAGCTACATCCCCAGCTCACCTACTCCCTTTCTTGACTCTGCTGTGTCAGGATTCTAGCCACATGCCTTGATGGGGAATGTTGGGATTATGAAGCCTTGGGATAATAGGTTCATTTACTTAGACTCTAGCATCTATAGTAAGATCTCTCATGTCAGCTGCATTCGCTGCTGGGATGTTGGAAGTAGGTTGTGATGCTAATCGTATTTAATGATACCCCAGATTAAATTGCGCTGTTGTCTCTACTCAGTCTTGATTCTCTTTTGGCCAGTAGCTTTTAAGCTTGTGAACACTGCAGGAATGGCAGAGTTCGGGATCTCCGCTGGCCAGCTGGTGGCAGTGATCTGGGATAAGTCAGCCCCCACAGAGGCTCTGAAAGATCTGGTGGATAAACTTCAAGTGTTAACTGGCAGCGAGGACCGAGTGTCTGTGGAAAACATTGACCAACTGCTACAGTGTAAGTATCTACACACTGGGTCTACACAGAGTTGGCGGGTTTTGATGCAAGTGCCAATAGTTCCTTGGTATCTGAGTTTTGTTGAGAGTGGCACAGGGCAGCAGTGGCTGGTGAGTTACTTATCAGGTGTGATACAGTGGCTGTAAAGTGTAGTTGATTTCTGTAAGTATGCTGTTGCACATTAGTTTTTTGAAAACATGCTCTTCTTCCTGCTTCCTTTTTCACTTCTTTCCCAGAGCTTGTGAAAGGGATATGAAATTAGTGAGGCTGAGAGAGAAGGGCAGAGCTCCATTGCCTCTTCTGCTAGTGTTTGTGATTTGATAAGAGTTTACTAGAACAGGTAGGGGCTCATAGCTTTTGGGGTGGCTTGGGAAATTGCTTCTGGGGCTTAGGTGATTGCTAATTACGGTCTTCTTTCTTTTCAGCTGCCCACAAGGAATCCAGCTTTGACATTATTTTGTCAGGTGTAGTCCCAGGAAGTACTACTCTGCACAGTGCTGAGGTTTTGGCGGAGATGGCCCGGATCCTTCGGCCTGGAGGGTGTCTTTTTCTGAAAGAGCCAGTAGAGACAACTGTAGGTAAGAGTTCACAGGGTGCACACCTATAATCCCAGCACTCAGGAGGCTGAGGCAGGAGGACTTCCACAAATTATATAGCAAGATCCTATATGAAAAAACAAAACAAAAAAAACCAGATATCATTTGAAGGTCAGTATTCCTGTAGAAGAAACTACCCCTTAGGGATATATATTACTGTTAAAATCTGAGGCAACAGATCTGAAGGAACTGTGATCTTCTGTTGCAGAAAGAAACTACCACCTAAAAATGGGTGAGTCATTCAGCAGATGAAAAGTTAAACTTGGTGCAGTAATAAAACAGCATGGGCTGGGTGTGGTGGTGCACACCTGTAATCGCAGCATCCAGGGAGGTTGAAGCAGGAGGATCACCACACATTTAAGGCCAACCTGGGCTACATAGTAAGACCCTGTCCCAAAATAAACAAACAGAGCAAACAATTGTTAGATACAGAGAATGTGCAGGGAGGAAAAAGCCAATTTCAAAAGGTTCTTTGCTGTATGATTCTGTTCATGTTCTTTTTTTTTTGAGAAATGGTCTCACTATATAGTTCACACTGGCCTCAACTCTGTGTAGCCCAGGCTGGCCTAGAACACAGCGATTCTCCTACCTCAACCTGAGGAGTGCTGGAGTTACAGGCGTGCGCCACCATGCCTGGCCCTACTCGTATTCTTGAAGTAAAGTTGTACCAAAGAAGATCATGTTTGTGGTTGCCATGGGTTAGGTATGAGAGAGAGGAGGTACCTGTGGCTTCAAAGGAGTAGTATGTCAGTCTTCTTGTCTGCATATTTTGAGAGATGGTAGCATGGAAGGAGATGAGGTGAAGGGCCTGGGACCTCTGAACTTGTCTGTGTGTCTCTGTATATGTATGAATCTATAGATCCTGTGAATCTGTAGTTATTTCAGAACAGTGCTTGGAAGTCTGAGAGTGATGAGGTAGCTATTGATTAATTTAAAACTCATGACAATGTCCAAGAATTAAGACTCTTTGGCTCAGTGATGTAGCTGTCGGAAAGTCAGTCACAACACTTTAGTCAAAATATGACAAGTTATTTCATCAGAATAATAGAAGTGCAAGTATTTTTGAGATGTATAAGGATGCTCATTGTTTATGTGGCACTGTAAACTTGCAAAATGTGTAGAGCCATCAGTATTTGCTGGAAATTTAGACCTTGAGTGACTAAATACAGTGTCTCTAGCAACTTTATAGAAGGAGTACTTGTATTTCCCTGTACTTTTCAGTGTGTAATATTCATTATCTAGCATCCTTTAGAAGGGGAAAGTGATAAGAAGCATAATAATGGAATTATAATATTTAAGATCATAGATAAGAGCACTTTAAACAATCAAAAGGATTTCTCAAATTCAGGTGCTGTCACTAAACTGTATACACCTTAGACAGAATAGTTATTATTTGAGTACCTACTGACCCACACAGGATAGAGCCTTAATTATTTTTCCTGCTTTGACCTATAAAGCTATTAATTGGGGTTTTCCTCTTGGCAGTTAACAATAGCAAAGTGAAGACGGCATCTAAATTGTGTTCAGCCCTGACTCTTTCTGGTCTTGTGGAAGTGAAAGAGGTAGGTGTATGTTGTGTAGGTAGCCGTCTTTGCTGGGTTAAACCTTGGGTGACAAACCCAGAGTCTGTCAGAGTAGTCGGGCAGACGGGAGTGTTACCAAGAACTAGGAAGCAGGCCCAGACTCGCTGCACATGGGGATGTGTGAGCCTTCGGGGAGCAGATCTCCTTTGGAGAGACTTGACCGGGCCTCTGGGAGTGGCCTGTTGGGAACTCCGCAGTAGTGATAGTAGCAGGGAACAAAGAACAGCAACTGCTCAGCCCTTGCAGCCCCATCTCAGTGGACACAAATCTAGGCCTACTGAAACGCCGTGGTCTAGACTAGCCTCCCACTTTTGGTGGGAGAGTGAGGTAAGTTGGGGAAAAAATTGCATTTCTGACAATCCAGTGGAGATGATCACATTAAACAGAAGTGTGTATGTTTCTTTTCATATTCTTCAATGTTAAATTATTTTGGGTGTGGGAAAAGTGTGTGCTATCCGAGGATAACTGTAATATCTCTTACATGCTCTAGTACCTGAAATTCTTTATACCTATTGTTCCTTTCCTTTTAAAGCTTTCTGTGTTCGGTTCTAAATAAGAAATACTTGTAAACATTCAGTTTATACTAAAGACTATAGAATAAAAGTAATCTATTCTTTTCTTGCACTGTTTTCCTAGAGGAAGCCAACATTGCATTTTTATATTTCTGTTCAGACTATTTTCTCTGTATTTGGCATCATATGTATCCATATACTTTTTAATGTAAATAAATTCACATGTATACATTGTTCAGTTACTAGCTTTTTTTCCCCATCCTTAGATATCTCAGACACATCTATTTCAGTGTATTTTTCATCCCTCATTTTTATTAGTGACATAATGGCATTCCATGTTTCAAGACTATTTGATTTATTTAAAATTCAGTAACTGGCCAGGCGTAGTGGCACACACCTATAATCCCAGCCCTTGAGAGGCTGAGACAGGAGAATTGTCACAGTTTGAGGCCAGCCTGGACTACATACTGAGACCATGTCTCAAAAAATAAAAGAAAATTCAGTAACTATTGGCCATAGAGTAGGTACCCTGACACCCTCTCCCCTTTACTATCTTTTAACTTCCCAAAGAACAAGGAAAGTATTCCTTTCTCTCTTTTTTCCTTTAGGTTAAACAGTTCTATTATCTTCATTGTGACATGCCTCTGTCAGACCATCTCTGACACATTGTGGCCATCTCTGACATATCTCTACAGTCATAATCAGTAGGCCCCCACAGGGATTAGGTGTTGTGTACCTAGTGTTTCATAAAAACTTTAAAACTTTCCAAGTAGTGGGATCAAAGTTAACATGCTGGTAAAATTAGACTATAGGGTTCTGATCATTGAGCAGCTGACTGTGAATCGTGACATGCTGTTAATTGCTGCTGTTATATATTTAATACACAGAAATGCATATCTAACCCTGTGCGGGTGGACGTTTGATAGGACTGTGATCCCCTTAATATCTTGAATTTCAGCTGCAGAGGGAGCCTTTGAGCCCTGCGGAGACGCAGTCTGTCCAGGAACACCTGGGTTGCAACAGCAACAGTCTGCTGTCTGTTCAGATCACAGGCAAAAAGCCCAGCTTTGAAGTGGGTTCTTCTAGTCAGCTCAAGCTTTCCATCACCAAGAAGCCTTCTCCTTCAGGTAAGGCTGGCCTGGGCACATACTTCTGTGTGAATGGGCCTGGATGGACATGTTGGAAGTTGAGCCAGAAGTCTAAGTATTTCTAGAGGATTAGTTCTTTAATTTCTGTCATTTCCAAGTTGTAGAATGTATAATGTGTTTTTATCCTGGGTGTATTAGGATCTGGCCCTGCAGTGATGCATAGATATTATCTATGCAGCTCTTTCTGCACCAGAGGCCTTGTAACTCTAGAGGCCAGAGTCATGTGTTTAGATAATGACGTTTTTCCAGGTCCCAGAAGTACAGTGGGCACCCTCACAGTGCCTCACGGTACTGGTGGTGGTAGATGAGATGCCCTGTTGCTGTTGCAGGACTTTTTTTTTTTTTTTTTTTCCATTTTGCTGTAGTATGATTAAACTCTGGGCGTTAAGAATGCTGGAGAAGGGCCAGGTGTGGTGGCACATGCTGGTAATCCTAGCACTTGGGAGGCTGGGACAGAAGGATCGCTGCAAGTTTGAGGCCAGCCTAAACTGCATAGTGAAACCCTCTTTCAAAAAGAAAAATAAAAAAGAACGCTAGGCAATGGTCTATCACTATAGCTATATCCCAAGTCCTTTTAATTTATTTTGAGAAAAGGTCGTTAGGTTACCTAGGCTGGCCTCTAACTTGAGAGCAGCCTGCTTAAGCCTCTGGAGTAGCTGGGATTACAGATACGCACCACTATATACAGCCCACAGCTTTTCTTACTTGGAGGGTCCTGTGATGCTTATTAAACTATTTCTTCTGCCCAGAAAGTTCACTGTGTGCACTTGTGTACACACACACTTCACCACTTTCATCCTTCCTGCCACTGTTTTTTCAATGCCCGCATTATTGTCCCAGCTGTGAGGAGTGCAAAACTTGACTAATATTTACTGGCATATCCATCTGGCACCAATTTGACTGACCAGGCTAAGTCTTGAAGAAATTATTTGGAATCTTAACTTTTGAGTTCATGGTTCCAGAATAGGTAGGAGCAGCTTCAGTGAGCAGCTGGCCTGGTGGAAATCCAGAGGTCAGCTGCGGCAGTGATCACTCAGGGTGCTCACGTTGGAGGCCTTTCTGAGGCCCCCAGATCTCTGCTGTCTTGGCTCTTTGCATTCTCCTGACCTGGACAGAGAATCAGGAGCTGTGAAGCTTGTGTCTGTTATTTGTGTGACTTTGCCACCAACAGCTCTAGAGCTTAATTTCTCATACAGATTTAGAGGAGGCTAAAACTTAGTCAGTTACGAAATCTTTGACAGATTGCTCATTTAATCCTCAAAATACCTACAGTAGACAGTACTGCTTAGGCCCATGGTAGAGGAGCGGAAACTAAGATAACAAGGAGAAAGCAGTGGGAAGTGCAGACTTCCTCAGTGTCAGAGCGTCAGCCGAGAGTCCTGTCTTTTCAAGAGCTGCGCCAAGCCCAGGCCCCTGACTTCCTCTCCAGCTGCTCTGCACAGGCTCTGGGGAAAACGCTTGTGTGATGTTGCTCATAGTCTGTTCTGGCTGATTTTATGGAGTTCTTTTTCTTTTCTTGGTTGAACTCAGTGAAGCCTGCTGTGGACCCTGCTGCCGCTAAGCTCTGGACCCTTTCAGCCAATGACATGGAGGACGAGAGCATGGTGAGTTGGCACTGTGTTCATCGACTGCTTCTTCCAGGCCCTGCCTTGTGTGTGACAGCCATAGGCTGGAGTGACCTTTCTGGGCTCACAAGAGCTGCATCTTGGTAGCACTGTATATTTATTTTTTAGCATCTTTTCCCCACAGATTTTCTGGGTCTCATTTTATATGATATATCAAAGACCCTTGTGGGTGTGTGTAAACCAGAAAAAGAGTTTGTCCACTGGACTGTTTTTATCAGCCCCTTTCTCAGGACAAGTCACTGAATGCTTGCAGTGTTAAAAGCACCCTTTCCATCTTTAAGCATCTCCGTATATAATCAAGCCCTTTGTTTCCACACCTCCACTTCTGAGGCTAGAGTGGTGAGCAAAGTAGGTCATGTCCACATTTACAAAGAATCACACAAATAAGCTGTGGTGGTGCATGCGTGTAATCCCAGCACTCGGGTGGCTGAGGAAGGAGGACCACCTAGAGTTCAAGGCCAGCCTGGGCTACAGAGTGAGTCCAGGCCAGCCTGAACTTCAGTGGGAGACCCTGTCTAAAAAAAAAAAAAAAACCAGAAAACTTTAAACACAATAAAATAATTACACACACAAGTATTTGTCCTTTTCTGTGGAATTATATAGAAAATACTCTGTTTACGGGGCTGGGGATTTAGCTCAGCGGCACAGCGCCTGCCTGGCAAGCATGAGGTCGTGAGTTCGATTCCCGGTATCTGAAAAAAACAAACAAACAAAAAAGAAAATACTCTGTTTTTCACATAACTACATATATTCAAGTAAATACAGCCCTTCTCTCTATTCTGCTGCTCCCAGCTCTACCCCTCGTGCTCACACTCTCTCTGTCTGTTTATCTGTTGCAGTCTTACAACCATTTCTCATGTAAGTCAGCTCCCAGTTCTTTCGTACCGCATGCATCTTCTCGAGCGTGCGGTAGGGTTAAACATAGGGATTGGTCCAGAGTAAGGCAGAGATGATGCCTCCTTTATGCTAACCCCTGTCTGATTGTATCAGCTGTGATCACAAATATAGCTCTCATTCAACTTGAGACTGCATCACTAATTGCTTTGCGTGCTTTCCAGGATCTCATCGACTCAGATGAGCTTCTGGATCCAGAAGATTTGAAAAAGCCTGATCCTGCTTCCCTGCGGGCCACTTCCTGTGGAGGGGAGAAAAAGAGGAGGGCCTGCAAGAACTGGTGAGTCTGGAGTTCTCACTGCTTGATTGTATTGGAAAGTGTTTTATCGTGAGAGTGTCATGTAGAGGAGTAAATTAAGCGTGCATTGTAAAACACAAGCTGTGTGTACTGGCTGCCCACACTAAGGAACAGAAACGTTGCGAATACCTCCATGTCACCTGTGCATGCTTCCTCAGCCGCATTTGCTCCTCCCCACATGGTTCCTGCTCCAAACTGGGTTCATGATTCAGGGGACTTTAATTGTTGACCACCTATGTGTGCATCTCCAAACAGTACTTCAGTGTGTTACAAAGAATTGAGTCAGAGCCCACGCCTGACTCTGTAAATGTTCCCACATTACATAAGGGTTCCCCGGGGAAGGGAACCTGAGCAGGGGCTTTGCTTTGGTCTCGGCCTCTTTGAAAATGGACAAGCGACCCTCTGGGAAGTTAGTGGGAAGAGTTCTGAATGAGGAAATGAGGGGCTGGTGCATGCCCTTGGCACAGCTGGCAGGGTTGTAGAAGTGCAGGGACTAGAAAGGCAGCCAGAGTATGGTGAGAGAGGGACTGCTGTAGGCCTGCCCTAACCCAGGCCCTGCCCTCAGGAGTAGATCAGAGCAGGAGTAAGTGTCCCCAGCAGGTCTGGTCTCCATGTGTGGAGTGGAAAGTTGGACGCTATCAGCACACATTAGAGGTGAACCGAGGACGGAAACTAGGCTGACCCACATGGCCTTGGATGACGTCATGGCACGGTGCCAGCAGGGATTGTGGGATGGCAGCCTTCAGGGTATCCATCTCATGTGATGCAGAGCTGATGTGTTGGCATCTTCCTTCTCTGCTCCCTGCAGAGTCCCTCACTGTCTGTGTTAGCTTTTGTTTCCTGTGCTCTATGTTGTCCTCTGTCTTGGTTTTCTCTCTGCTGCTGGTGGAGCTTATTGTCCAGTAGTTCCTTAGAAAGGCTACCTGGAAGGTATGTTTTGGGTTTTGGTTTGTTGTTTTTGTTTTTTTTTTTTTTTTTTTTTTTTTTTTTTTTTTTTTTTTTTTTTTTTTTTTTTGTGTGTGTGTGTGTGTGTGTGTGTGTGTTAAATACCTGGGTTCCACTTATATATGGTTGGTGACTAAAGTCTAGAAATGTTGCTTAGAAATCATTTTCTTATGGTTTAGAGATAGTTCTGTTGTTTTCTTTTAGTTATTCTGACATTTGCAGCCAGACACATATTTTGATCCTTTCTATTAGAACATCTTGATCCTTTCCATAAGACTTCTTTCTCCATTTCAGAAATTTGTAGAGTCTTTACCTCTGTTATCATTGTGTAATAGCAAGTCTTGAATGAGAATTTGTTCTCATGTTTTGCACTAGTCACTTAGTGTATCTTTTTCTGTCTAAAAAGCCATGTCTGTGGCCTCAGGACATTTTTTAAAAATTTTGTTTAACCAGGAATGGTGGTGGATGACTATAATCCCAGAATTTAGAAGGCTGAGGCAGAAGGATTGCCACAAATTTGAGGCCAGGCTGAATTATATAGCACAACCCTCTTTCCAAAAAAAAGTTAAGAATTTTGCTGGGCATGGTGGCGCACGCCTGTAATCCCAGCATTTGGGAGGCTGAGGCAGGACGATCATTGCGAGTTTGAGACCAGCCTGGGCTACAGATTGAGCTCTGCCTGAGCTGCATATGGAGATCCTGTCTCAAAAAGACCAAAAAAAAAAAAAAAACCACAAACAGAAAAACTAGAAACAATGTTCATACTCATATGAAAAAAAAAATTAATGAATTTCATCTTCTGTTTGTTTTCTGTGAGTAACTTGTGACTTAAATATTGGACTCTTCAGTCCTGTAATTTTTTTTTCTCACATTTTCTATGTTCCCCATTTAGGGAGATTTCTTCATTTATCCTCCAAAACTTCCAGTGTTATTTTATTCCTACTATTCTGTTTTTATTTCTAAGTTTACTTTTTTTTGTCCTTTTTTTTAAATAACACATTCTGCTATTATTTCATGTGTGTGATACCTTCTCTTTTGAGGATGCTGATAGTTGTACATTTTTTACTCCTTGCATAGTTGCTGGTTTTTTTGTTTTTTTTGAGACAAAGTCTCACTGTACTTCAGGCTGGTGTTGAACTCACTATGTAGCCCAGGCTGGGTTTGAACACACAGAAATCTTTCTGCCTCAGCCTGTGGAGTGCTAGGATTACAGGTGTGTACCACCACGCCCCGCTATTTCTTTTTTTCTTTTTTCTTTTTGGTCTCTAACTTCTACCTTTGTTAAAGTGCCTAATGACCTTAGGCTTCTTCATGATTAGGAGTGCAGGACCATCTGGGCATACTGTTTTCTGCCTGGCCCCAAAGGCACCTGACTTGATACTTTTGTGGAAAGAGGAGAGACTTAGGGCACACTTCGGCTCTGCTGTGGATTTGGGGTTCCTGGGCAGTGGCAAATCCTCAGTAGCAACTGGTTTCCCCTAGTACCTGTGGTCTTGCGGAAGAACTGGAGAAGGAGAAGTCAGAGGCACAGAAGAGCTCCCAGCCGAAGTCAGCCTGTGGAAATGTAAGCATCTCGACCTTATAGCTTGTGACCCCCTGTGGTGAGGACATCATTGTAAACTAAGACATCTGCTCAATTCTGAGTGCACCATGCACATAGAGCAAGCAGAGGCCAGCGCAAGGGGATGTGCCTGGGAGTGGGTTAGCACCAGCTGCTCCTACCACAGGGAGGGCATGAGTCATTTTTATTGTTTGTTGTGTCTTTTTTGGAATAGGATCTTGCTGTATAGTTCATGCTGGCCTTGAGCCCACCATGTAGCCCAGGCTGACCTTGAACTCATTGTGATCCTGCCTCAGCCTCCCGAGTGCTGGGATTACAGGCGTGTGCCACAGTGCCTGGCTCATCGTCTCTTACTTTGACTCGTTTGTTCCTGCCTCAGAGTGGGACTGGAAGTTACAGAGCCATTTGGCTGAGCTTGGCTATGATTTGAAATGCTTAGAATAGAGACACATGGCCTCCTAAAGAACTTTTCTTGACTGTTTTTATGAGGCTAGATATCTTGAAAACTCCTAGTATTTGGGTCCTGCTGGATGTACAAGTGCATCCAGACATTTCCTCTGGGCTTGGGTCTTAGGTGAGCTGGCCCTTGGTGTCCCCATGTGACTTCCTGTTCTCTCCCCACAGTGCTACCTGGGCGATGCATTCCGCTGCGCCAGCTGCCCCTACCTCGGGATGCCAGCCTTCAAGCCCGGGGAGAAGGTGCTCCTGAGCAATAGCAACCTGCAGGATGCCTAGGAGGGACCCCGAGGCCATGCCTGCTCCACAGCCGCTCCTGGCCCTCCTCCTGCCTCCTGTGGACTTGCGTACTGTTTGAAATCTCTGAAATCTGTAGACAGAGCGAGGTGGGCTGCAGTGCAGTGGTGTTAGTGCTGCTCTCTCCCGAAAGACCAAGGTGTGGTAGGGCCTGGTTCCCCAAAACAGGCCCTGGTCCCTCGCCAAGTGTTAAGACCTCATGGTAAAATGCTGACATACACTCTTGAGCCAGACGTCCTTAGTATTTATGCCCTGTGACAAGCTCCAGGCACCACCCCTGTGACAAGCTCAGTGACCCTGCCACCTACATGTCCTTCCAAGTTGGCGGGGAGTCAGTACACACTCTTGGTGACTTGAGTCAACGGTCTCATGACCTCAGGGCACCAGAGAGGTCACTTGCTGGTTACTGTGATCCCATCCTGTGTCCCTCTGTCCACTTCCACCCCATCTGCGTCTGTTGTCATTTCTGTTCACCGACAGGTGTTACACTTGCACACTCCCGAGTGTCAGCTCCAGGAGGGTGTGTGGGTGCATGTGGTGTCCGTGCATCATCCGTGCTCTGCCCAGACCGGGACATGTTCTCTGTGGAGGAACTTGGCGGCCCGCACAGTGGGGCCAGTGCTGTCCTTCTAAGTAGCACCTCTTCTTAGTGCTGGTTGGTGAGGAACAGGGAAGACTGGCCAGCAGCGCATCTCTGACTGTTCTGCTGTGCATCCCCCACAGCCCCAGAACCGGTCTTGCCAAACACTTGAAGAGATGGTGTGGGTGTAAGAGACCGGATTTTTGTTTGACCAATAAATACAAGTGTTAACTGGTATTTCTCTGCAAAGGTTGGCTGGATTCTCCTGGCTTGCTTTTCCTTCTGGTCCCTGCTCCTGGAGTTTAGTTAGTGCTGCAACTGAAGCTTGGCTTCCAAGCCTGGGGGAGCAGCATTCCGAGAAGGCCTCCAGTGACCCGTGCCCCTGTGTCACCCCTGAGCAAGGCCTGCGGGAGCCATTGGGTCTCCTAGGATTGGGGGAGGTTCTGTGGCAAAAGCCAAGGGATTTTGCAAATGTAGTTAGTCCCTGCTGACTTAGAGTTGATTAAAAGGGAGATTATCCTGAGTGAGACTGATGCAGTCAGGTGATCTTTAAGAACTAGAGAGCAAAGCTTGCTGGCAGTATAGAAGTTGCCAAGTTGTGTGAGGGCCAAGCGGGGACATGCCCCCAACACACAGTGCAGAGACAGCGGGCCCTCAACCCGGCCTCCGGGAACTCGGTCCTGCTACCAGCACACGGCTGGACGAGGACCTCGAGTCTGCACAGAAAAGGTGGTGCCCTGATTGCAACTGTGGGAGGCCTGAGCGGGGCTATGCCCACAGAAACCAATGTAACAAGCCATGTCAAGCGGCAGAGTGTCAGGAGACTTGTTAATGGCAACAGAAACTAACACAGCCGCAGGATGGCTTAGTGGTGGTGTATGTACCAAGCCAGCAGGCCCAGTGGTAGTTCTGCTGCAGTTGCCTAGGTGTGGGACATGGTCCCCAGCCTTGGTGGTCCAGGCCGGGCTCAACATATGCCAGAGCCCTGGCTGCCCTGACTCTTGTTCTGAGTCCCAGCCACTGCTGGCTCAGGATGAAGCTCTGGGTGGCATGGTTAATGGGAACGTGTTGGCGGCGGCTGCATCATCCCCCGGGGGACAGGGCTGGATGGTGGAGAGGCCTTGCCAGTCAGTGGTGCATGTCTGGGCTTGGAGCCCAGGTTCGGCTCTACACAGTGAGGGGACATAGGAGGGCACAGCTGGTCCTTGTGTTTGTGACCTTGGAGGGTGGTGATTCTAAGGGGAGAGGCTTACACACTGACATCGGAGCCCCAAACAGCCTGGGTATCCCTGAATGCAGCTTCAGTTTACGATCAAGGGAGTGGTGAGAGCTGGAGGTGGCCTGTAGTCATGTCACCTGAGTACATAACAGATGCCTGGGGCAGGGGACAAAGCTCAGTCGCACAAGGCCCTGGGTTGGATCCTTAGTACTACAGAAACCAAAGAGCATGAGAAGTGCGGATGCCTGATGACACCTGTTGTTAGTGTATAGTCAATTTCTGTCTGGGGTGATAGGTCCCAAGAATGAGGTGCCCATGGATGAAAAGAAAAACAAGAGACAGGATCAGGGGGCTTGCAGCCTCTCGCACTGAAGCCCTGATTACCATCCTCCTTAACCTTTTATTGGGATACAAACAAAAAGCAGCAAAAGGGCAAGTGGGAGGAATAATTCACAGGATTGTCGAGGACAATACAACTGAATTATCACAGGAATGAGACTTGACTTAGCCATCATGTTATCATTCTTTCAGGCATATCTCAGCAAGGCATCTAGTGTCATCCCAGCAGCTGGAAGCAGGGACACGGGTCCTGCTATTATTTCCTTTTACACCAATGCTTTTGCTAGACTTCCTCTGGAATCAAACAGTCATATGGCTTGGTCAGGCCTGAAGTCCCAAATGTGTAATACATTGAAAGATAAACTAAAGAATGTTCTCCACAACCTGTGGATGTCCTAGATTGGTAGGTTTGAGGGCCCTGGGAACCTTGGCTGGTTTAGAAACTAAGATCTTTTGCTTACAGCCTGGCAGTATACGTTTGGGATTCCCCACTGCCTGCTTTCTTTCTGTTTGTATTTATAAACAGTCTTGCTGTGGAGTCCAGGCTGGCCTCAAACTCACAATCCTCCTGACTCAGCCTCCAGAGTGCTGGGATTACAGGTATACTTCACGGTGCCTGGTGCTACTCTCTTATGAAGTCACTTGAAAGCTGTAAGTGCCTTGGGCAGCAGAGACAAACCATCCCTTGGGGTTCGGTGGCAGTGAAACTTTGGAGGGGGTGAACAGCAGGTGCCCAGAAGCTGGATTCCTTGTGTTTGGGGAGGAGGGAGGAGGTGCTGCTGACTGCTCTGGAGTGAGGCAGCCCCTTGAGTGGCAGCATTACCCCGGCTGGTGACTGGCTTCCAGCCAGGCTGAAGGGAGAACCTGTGTGCCGGAAGCACGTGCTGGACTGGGGAAGAGGCGCTGCTTCGTGAACAGAAGAGCTGTGAGAGGCTAAGCAGCAAGGAGCCGACTGCAGCGGCAGGCGGGAATGCCCTTTGGTGGGATTCCGTTGGGCAGTTCACTGCCAGCTGTGTGTTAGAATCACCTGTGTAACTTCACCTGTGGCCCTTGTATGACTAGGTTTCCCTTCCTAAAACCTAGTAAGCCAGTTCCTTCTAGAGTGGGGCCCATGACGTCTGCGGGATAATAGTGTTTTGTTTTTTGGCTTTGTTTTTTCAAGAGAGTCACTGTGTTGTCCAGGCTGGCCTCAAACTCACTGAGAGTCTGCTACCTCAGCCTCTCAAGTGCTGGGATTATAGTCATGCACCACGACACCCAGTTTGCATCAGCATTTTCACAGCGCTCCCCTGGGTGATTCTGAAGTGCACCCACGCTTACGGACCACCGCCCTGCAGAAATGCCCTACATGCTGTCAGGCACGACTTGGGCATGGCTTTCCCAGCATCCACAGTTTTCAGCAAACTGCAGCTTCCAGAAAGTACACTGCTATCGGCAAATGACAAGGAACAACAAACGGGTCATGTCCCTGGAGAAAGAAGACAGGATGTTGTAAAGAAGCTCAGCGCCAGAACACCTGCTACCATCTGTACATCTGCACTGGACATTCTGAGAACCTCGACCACAGATGCGTGCTCAGCACCCCCTCAGGAGACCTCCACCTGATCTCCTCACTTGGTCCCCACTTCCCAGGCCCTATAAAAGACCCGGCTTCTTTGTTGGGGGCTGGTGGCTTTATCGCCCTCACTCTGCCTGCGCCCAGGTACAGTAAGTCCCATGCTGAGTTGCCTTTACCCAAGCCCACGCTGGTGGTTTCTGGTGGTCTCTTACTCGTGCCATCCGTTACACATGTGCCAGAAGACATGCCCACAACATAGCCAAAGCCGCAACACATGTAAGAGCAAGAACCTGGCCAGGATCCAATAGCCCATTAGCAAGAGAGCAGATGAGTGACACACATGACCGCAGGGTGGGACACTACCGCAGAATGAGCTGTGATGGAGTGCGGGCCTGGAGGAGTCACAGAGCAGCCACGAGAGCAAGCCATGGATGTGTACATGAAATGGCTTGTCTACATGAAGTTTAAACCATGTGAGCTGCGTCAGTACATCATTAGTGACACACAAAGATGCATACAGATTACACATGCACATACCTGACAACTAAAGCTCAAGGAGACCGGCGAACAAAACTCGGGACCAGCCAGGTGTGGTGGTGCATGCCTGTAATCCCAGTGCACGGCAGGCTGAGGCAAGAGGATTGCCACAAGTTGGAGGCCAACCTGTGCTACGTAGTGAGATACTGTGTCAAAAAATAGAGCTGTTATGGTTTATGTCTGGGTGTCCCCCCAAAGCCTCCTGCGGCCATGGGGCAGGCTTTTAGAGTTTGATTATGGGTGTGAGAGCTACACCCGCCCTGGGGTGGACAGTTTGCATATGTAAGGGAGAGGAAGAAGGTGCTTCTGGCTATTTCCTCCCTTGTGTGTGTGCTTGTTGCTTTGCTGTGTCTGAGCCCCAACCCGGACAATTTAATGACTCAGCGGTCTCAAAAATTTAAAAAGGGAAGTAGCTCAGTGCAAGGCCCTGGGTTCCACTCCCGGGGCTGCACTAAGTGTTGAAACCATGGCTCAATGCTTTTCAAACCATACTGAATCAAGTGTTTGGAATAATGTTTATGTAAAAACTAATGGCAAACTAATTATGTTAACTGCCTTTCCATATTTTGGTATAAAGTATCTGACATACACATCTTAAAGGTGAAAACACTTGTTTTGGCTCACAGCATAAGAGGTTTTAGACCACAGGTGGCTCCCACAGAGAAGCGGCCTGCAGACGAATGCTGCTCATCATGGCAGCCAAGCAGCAGAGAGGACAAGACCAATCTAGAGGGGACCGGCGGGCATAAGAATATTCCCTTCTAGATCACGCCCGCAGTGACAACTTCCAACCTGGCCACACCGACAAGAGCACAGTCAGCCTTGAACTTGTTGGTGGATTAACACATGAACATTTTGTGTTGTTGTTGTTGTTTTGTTTTTTTTTCCGGTACTGGGAATCGAACTCACAACCTCGCGCTTGCCAGGCAGGTGCTGTGCCGCTGAGCTAAATCCCCAGCCCCCACATGAACATTTTGAAGAACAAATCATAACACTAATGCTTATGTATCTGTTGGTCTGTCTGCTGATATTATTTAAATGTGATGGTAGATTGTGAGGGAGGGCTGGGTGTGTCTCAGAAGGGGACCACTTGCCTGCTAGGCACAAACGCCTGGGTCCCTTCCCAGCATCACAAACGGGGGAGAACATCTGCTTGGAGCAAATGAGTGCTGTGCCCACATTTTGTGCTGAAAATTACACAAATGTATGAAATATGATGGGGAGAGCTCCAGGAGATGATTTAAGAGACATAGAAAGATGTGTGATGAAAACACAAATCAGCAGATCTGAGTCAAGAAGTGAAAAAATAAAATTCCAGATGTGAAGTCAGTAAACATTAGCAGGAGGATCGCAAGTTTGAGCCCAGTTTGGGCAGCTTAGCAACTTAGTGAGACCCTGCATCCAAATAAGAAATAACAGAGTTGGAAGTGTAGCTCAGTGCAGAGGCTTTGGGTCTAACTCCAGTACCAGAAAAAAAAACATCAGCATCTTTTACATTCATCATATGCAATCACTACCTCTGCCTGTTTCATCTTCTGAAAAGCAAGCCTCGGGGCTGGGGATTTAGCTCAGCGGCACAGTGCCTGCCTGGCAAGT